GCTGTTTTATTTTATTTCATAGAAACACTTTTCATCATTTACTCTGGGGTCCCTATTTGAATATTGCTCTCTTGAATTATATTGGTAGACACATGAAAAAACTATTCAGTCAATCAAAGTTTGTTCATACCGACAAAAAATTAAATTCTAAGGATGTAAAGTATTAAATGTTGTTTTCATTTCTTGGGTGATTGATCACAGATTAATATATCCACCAAGCGTATTGGTCTTTTATTATCTTATTTCAAACCTGTTGATTGAACCAGCATTTATTTTTACTTCAGCAGCATTTTGTTTTTACTTCAGCAGCATTTTGTTTTCTAGAACTTCTTGATTAGGATTATGTTCTAGCTGCTTATTCATTGTCATTTATCCGTGTTTCGATTTTAAAATTATAAATATTTAAAAAAGTTTTTACACTATTGTGTACTTTTATTTATATGGTGAACTAAATCATTTTGGATTTTTACAAAAGGATGTTGTTGATATTCAGTTTTTGTTATTTCACTCTATTATAATTCAGGCATAAAGCAATTTGATTTAAAGTTTAAATTTTTAATAATTTTTCACATTTTTTTTTTAATTATACAACAATAAAAAGCACTTAATCTCCACAAGGAAATTTGCCAATTTTTAGATCACTCTTAAGGAGTTTTAGGAAACGCAAAACAGGCCACTCGAGAAGACGGAAAGGCTGGTAATGGTACAGAATCTTTTGTTCCCACACTTGATATGCTACGTTGATCACTTGATTACCAGAACGATAAAAGAATTGAAATGAATTCTTCCGTGAAAAATAGCTTTTTTGCAGATGTCTAATTCTTCCTTGAATTGATAGATACACAAATCCATTGTGTCTGAGTATCTCTGTCCAACTTATAACAAAAGCTGTTAGTATAAAATTGAAAATGATCTAAAAGTTTTTTTTTATTAAATTTGAACTTTTTAATCAATCTTTTAAAAAGTGGTCTGAAGTATTCTGACTTTTGCTGAACTATTGTCACGAGTATGAGATAAGTGCTTTAGAGGAGTCTTTTCACCAAAAACCTTTTTCTTGCGTACTTCGAAGGAAGTCATAACAGCTTTTTCCAGTCAATCCATCTTAAATTTATTCATTTCACAAGAGACTGAAACTCCTTCGCTATGAAAACTTGTCCTTAAGATTAATAGCTATCATATCATAAGTGGACACAGACCGTCTGAAAACACTTGTCGGAGATTTGACTATTGATGTTGTAGATAATCAAACAAATCTGTTATTCAAATGCGGAAATTAGATTTTGTAGTGGACATGACATGTGTGGTGTTTTTGAAACGCCAGATTCAACGGTCTATTGTAATTCAAAAGTGATCATTTCCAGATAGGATTTGAAAAGATTTTGAAAGTAAGTTCTTCAAGTGAGGAAGTTTGTAGAAATAGTGGATGGAAATGGATAAAATTTAACGCTCATTTATTTGAGAGTAAAATTGATTTTTTTCTTGTTTTGTAAAGTATTTATCTTTCCCTGATAGAGCAATTTTGTTACAATTAATATTTGAACACATCTAACTTATCCGAGGTTTCAAGTGGTATCTGATATTCATTAAATATTTATGTTACAGCGATAGATTAGTAATCTATATGTACGAGGATGAAAATATAGGTAACATGATAAAGCTACATTTAATAATAAGTGAGTACGAGTAGGTGCTTATTAACTAGTTTATGTGTTCAAAATTTTTTTATAGATAGCTGACTTTAGCATAAAATATCGCATATTTTTTGGGACTAATTTTTAATTATTGCAACTAAATTAAAGTTTTTCGGAGGATATAATGAAAATTTAATTATTTGATTCAAAACACAACCGAAATCTGACAAAAAACTCTCCAATGTTTACCATGCTTAAATATCTGTCTGAGTGAAAGAAGTGTCTGATCCACTATATAGATGTTACATCATCGTTGACTTATATTACTGATTGGTTATTGTTACGGAAATAAACAAGGAAATTGATATCTGAACACGGCTCTGCATAAGTAGCCCCTGATATGTAATGAGCTACTAGGCTCCAAAAACGAATGGTAATGATCTGAATATGTTTTCTTTAGGACAATAGAAGCTATGACGACAATGATTTTTTCATTGTCACCTCTTTGTCATTGCAATTTATTGTTATCATGTAACACTTATTTACTCTATCATCACATTAAGATGTAGCTTAATTTTATTTTCCATTCCACAAGAAGATAATTTTTATGTTGTGTATTCATAGAATTTTCTCTCAAATGGGAAATAAATATTTGTTTCTTATTCTTGTTATAAATTATTTATTTGTTGTGAATCATAGCGGGTGACCCCTACAAAACAGAACCCAGATATTTGAAACATATCCTAGAGACAACATAACTTTTGTGCAAAGCATTGCTAGATTGCTGAAACTTCTGGGTACAATTATACATTCAAGGCTAATAAGTTTTAAATAATTTTTTTTCGTACACTTACCGGTAATAAAGTGGTTTATAGGTTCATTTTTTTGGGGTCACCCTTCACCCTGTTAACCCCAAATACATCACAAAAAGCTAAATACAATGCAAGCTGGATTCATTTGTATTTTCCATTAAATGGTAAATTAGTGCAATTTGTTATGTCTGGATTGACAGACATGTGGATTACTTTAATTAAGATTTAATAGCCTGTCTTGAGATTCCAAATGTATATTAGGATTAACCAATATAGGAATCATATATCAAATTGATGTCAAGGGAATTCACTTTTATTTCATTTAAACTTACGGACAGTAATCCTATTTGCTTTTAAACCCTAATAGTTAAATATAATGGAATTTTGTTGTAATTCCTTTTGTCTTGTATTCATATTCACGACAAAGGTATCGATTTGATATTTTTGTAATTGTGTAGTGAGGCGAATTTGAAATGTTTATTTTCAGTAAACAAAGTTGGGGAACTTCTAATCAACTAATTGATTCTTTTGTGTAGTTTGCAAAACTGATGTCGTTTTAAAACTAAAATACTTTTTTGACTGCGAAATTGAAATGTAGAAATAATTAGGTTTTAATCAAGGTAAAAAACTAAACCTATCATCTGTAGAATAATGACATTATTAGTTTGGCAACGAAAGTAATTGAATACCTGAATTAGGGATGGGCAATGTAGAATAATTTACTATTCTAGAATATTCTTGAATAGTTAAATCGAATCCAGAATACCGAATCCTATTCTATTTTCATACTTATTCAAATAGTGGGAATTTCTACATTGCTGGATTTAGATGGTGAAAAATTACAAATGTATTACTTAGTATAAATGTATTATCTATTTGGAAATGTCCTGAACATTGGATTTCATTTGATACTAAACAGGCAGTTCCCAGGACAATAAAATTTAGGAATATTACAATATTTTTGCCTTCAATTATTCCAAATGTATGTAATCCCTAAATACTAATAAATACTGATATGCTAAATTAAGACACGCTTTACACACTTTAATAGTAAGCGGTTAAATACAAAATAGACATGAAACGGCGTTAAATCATTATTAATGTAAGTCTGTCGAGTATACTAAAACATACCCGCTGAGAATTAATTAGATGCTGAACCAGCGTGTGGCCACTGCAACCTATGCGCCGTTGTGAAATATTAAATTTAACCACTATCAATTAATATCAACCTTTTATTCTGTGAGAGCAAGACACGTAAAACCAAGTTCCCGTAAACGCGATTTCGTACTTAGTTATTAGGTAATAACATCTGAACATTAAACGTGCGTCTATCTTGAACGATAGAAATGTTATCATTAATCATTATCTACCCAGACTTAGCCCTACTCAAATTCAATACGTCACTATCTTCGCCAGATGTGGCAACTTTTTTCAAAATTTATCGGCGACTAAAATACTACAGACACTCGATCAAACGTGCGTCTATCTTGAACGATAGAAACGGACCGAAAAATATGTAATCTTTTGAGAGTGAAATTTAAATGTGACAGTTGTTTGCGTTTTGCGATATAGCTTTGTATTTCGGAAAATGGTATAAAAAAATTATTCGTAAATAATATTTGATCTAAATTAATGGCGAATAATGTTATAACATTTAACGCCTGGCTTTTGGTTTACGTGCATCAATTATTGGGGAAAACTCGTAGGTCGCGAAAAATCATTTAATTTAAAATGAGGCAAGGCACGTCTGTAAACAAAGATTGTTGCATTCAGATTATCGGAATATCACCAGTAAGTCGGCACAAATAACGCTAGCTAGATAGCAAAGAAGGAAAACGCAAAAATGGTGCAATAACGAGTCCTCGCCGTGAGGTTATATTACCGACCTCTTGTCCTGAATATGCCGATTGAAATTACAGTGTTTGATGTTTACCGATTAACGGGTTCTTTGCGAGCAGACGCAAGTTTAATTAAACGAGAGAGATTTCCACGCGAGAAAAACGCTCGTCTATAATTGATAAATTAGAAACCCGAAATACAAAAATTGACGATTGGCGCCGGAGAGGCGGAAACCGAATCCTGTTATCGGATCCCGTTGGATTCGAATACTTTGGGATTCGAATCCTCCGGATTCGGTATTCTATTTTGCCCATCCCTAACCTGAATAGTAGAAAAGTTTTACCAGGGATATTTTACAAGGGTAGGTTAGGAAGTTGAAATTGAGGCGGACTATCAAAATAAATGAATGACGAAATAAAGATAGAATATTAGAAACATTGTTGGGGACGCTAGAGTCATTGAATTTACTCAACCTGAGTCATTTGAATAGAAGGTGTCGGACTCAACAACTAACAACTTAACTCATTAATTGACTCAACCTGAGACTCGAATGCCGCCCAATATTGGTTAGAAGATGTGGAATAGTCACTTTAAGGATGACTAGTAAAAGGAAATCTTGTTGGAAATACAAGTTTTGTGTAAGATATAACTAAAAAATGTTACTTAGATATGCACCATATTACATATTTTTTCAAGTTTACTTTATGAACTTTTACAGTTTTAGAACATAATGAAACTAAAGTAATATAACGTATTACGAAACAGTGTTGACTTGTTATTCATCTGATCATTGATCATGGTGGACGGCGGAATCACCAGTGCTCGAGATTTACTTCAGATTCTCATGAATGCAATGGAAGTTTGTGAGAGTAAATTGGAAACCGCAGCAAAACCACTAGATGTCAATGGTAAGGGACAAGTTTGTTCATTATGGATTTATTCATATTATGCGATCCCACATAACATAAAGCATAGTGGTTAAAGCGTTTTATCTTTAATATTGCGTCAAATATTAAAAGTCTCAAGTTTAAACCACACAACAATATGGCACCTCACGCGGGATGTAATAAATTGGGCATGCAATGCCGACAGGGGCGTAGCCAAAGGGGGTTTTGGTGGTTGAACCCATCCATCGACATCCCTCCTCTTTTGAAATGTAAAAAAAAAGCATTTTTCTGTACCATACATAGTAATTTTCTCTACCCATGAGTGCATTTATCACATTAACTTCAATGGCCATGATGAAGCATTTATAATTTCAATGCAACTGCCATAACTGAATTTGCGGTTTTTAAAAATTTCGCAATTCATTTGAATTTTGAATAATCTAAACTGAACTATTTAGCAGTAACATTAGGATTTCAGTGCAGAATACAATTTTGATAAAAAAATGATAATATACTTTAGTCATCTTCATAATAACCGTAGTATCATTATAATTAATAATAGTAAAAAATGATAAATAAAAAAAACACAATCTTAAACTTGCTATTTTGTGAAAAGAAATTTTGTTATTCTTATTTATCATTTTAATATTATTCCCTTCAAACCTTTTTGTGGCAATATTGGCATATGAATCCAAAGTAGGAAGTAAATATCAATACCCTCAATACAATATTTTATTAACCTCAATAAAAATGGCCACAATGTTTTTCGGAATATTTTTACACTTTATAATAGTATTGTGGACGGTCTTTTACATCAACAAAAAATCCATATCTGACATGTTTATTGAATAATTTGTAACAGATTCAAGTTCCCATTTAATTCAGACGGCTTGTGACGCTTTATGTGCTTGAACTTAAATTATTTCAAACCACATTTGTCACCTTTTCCACTGTAACTTATCGCTCAGTGAATTAGGAGTGGCATGTGGTGGCAAATAAATATTATCTTTAAATATGCGGATGAACTAAATATAACTATCAATGGTGGTTCTTATAACTGAAGAGTACAAAGTATATCTCAGTGTTTGAACTGGCATGTTTATGTTTGCGGATTTAAATGGTGCGTAGTAAATATATTGACAGCACGCTAGTCTTAACTTAACATATTATGTGTCAACAATCAAATTTCCTTGTATATTCTATAGCATTTAACATTTTTTGGGATATTTATAATAATGATAAAGTAATTTTTTTGTATTTTATCAAATTTTGAATAAATTTAAAATTTCTCCAAATTGCCAACATTCTATCACACAATTGTTACTTTCATTAGGAAGACTTCAAAATAGAAATGTTTATTAACATCGTATTTTGTATTTTCTGAAATTTCACTGTCAGTATTTTGAATCAACGAGCTTTAGTGGCAAATAATAACCTGATATCCCCATATTTTTTTAACATACCCTTTTCTGACAGTTATTTTCCTCTATTTTTTGAAAAGTCATAATTTATTATTTGTGTGTTGTCATCATTTATTACTGTTAGGATTGGATGATAAAATGACAGACAGTTATATGGACATTCTCAGCTGTATTTATCACCATCTAAAGCCATTTCATTGTGCTAATATATAACCCTAGTCATTTTACTATTATTATTTCATCATCGTAAATTTTACTTCTACTGGTTTGGCAAAAGTGTTCCGAGTACCAGTGATGTCATGTCTTGTTTCTATTTTTATCGGTCATGATCGGTGTTAGTGTTTTTGTCAATTATGTAAATAAACTTCATAAATTTTCGTGTGTCTCAACGGATGTTGTTAAAATTTCACGCTAGTTTTGATGATTTATCAATACTGGTTTTAAATTTGGTCATCCGTATCCTTCTCAGAAAAGTGTAATTTGCAATCAATTATATTTTGAAAATTTAGTGTTTTTAATAAATGTTTTTTTTTTTTTTATGAATTCTGCTTTAAATTTTGGTTTGGGTTCATAGTATTATAGATTATTTTATAAGATTATTTGGATAAAATATTATGAATTATTGAAAAAATTAAAATTTGATAATATTGTCATTATTTTTTTTGTGAAAAGCAACTCATTTTTTGTTTTGAATTGGATTTTGGTATAAAGTTCCCATACTAAGCAATAATTATGACAGTGATTCAGCCTATAGAATATTAAATGGAATGTAACAACATTAATAAAGTCTCATTTAAATTGAACAGTCGATATTGGTGCGAAGATTAACACTTATATTGATTTCAGGTAATGCATTAGACATATACTGCGCCGGGGAATGGGACAACTTGATTTGTTGGCCAAACAGTGCTCCCGGTCCTGTCAAAGTGAAATGTCCAGACTACATAGTTGACTTCAACCATGACGGTAAGATACCAAATCTCTTGTGTTCTCGCTACAGTTTTCCTTGACTGGTTTTAATGTTTGTGACAGACTTCCTTCTTTTACATCAGACTGATTGCTGTGTTTTTATTCTTTTTGCAAAGTATGAAATTATTCTATTGTATATTATATTTATATTTGAACATTGCGTTAGATTAGTTTTTATTTTGAATAATTCCCCAATCAATTAAGCGATGAGAGAATTTAATATTTTGAATTGCAAAACAACGGTTTCAGGTGACAGTTATGTTGGTATTCCAAGTACCTATATCAAATATTAAATTATCTATCTATGTTTGGTAAATTATAAATGAATTACGAGGCATGCTACCATCCTACTTTTTCAAAATCCGACTTTTGATCACAGGGTACTTTAGGAATGTTCACCGAAACTTATGTTAATGATGTTTTGATCATAAACATTATGACGTCACGTCCAGTCTGTTTAATATTTAACATGGCCAAAGTGTGAAAACAACTAAATCACAAAGATATCACTCCAAAATATTTATCAAATAAGTAACTGTTTTGAACTTAAATTGGAAGAAAACATTATTTTGCTCCTAAATTGCTCGGTTTATACTTTTTTTAATGGAGATTTAACATATCAACAAAGATTGCTCTGATTCTGCAAAACCTATCATTATTTTTAAGCAATAAAGAAAAATCATGATATATATCCTTATATTTCAAGTTGATTTTAAATATTAAACCCAATACATAACTTATACCCAATAGGCTATATAAATTTTGTTTTATGTAAGTTTTGTGTAAGCAAAGTTACATACAAGCATTCGTGAGCAAACAAGGATTATGCAAGATTGGCTTGATGTTGAAATTAGATAATTCGCCAAAATAATTTACAGGATACGAATTAACTCTGGTATAGAATAAATAAAGAACTTGCATCATTATGAGAAACCTTTTTGTCCCTTGTGGGTTTCTGTATAAAGTTTACCCCCACACATGAACATAAACATCCATGTTATAATGTACATTTTTATCCAATTTTGAGACAGCTATATTAAACATTTACATGAGGCTTTTTAGATTCCATGAATTTGAGGTAATTTGGGTATTTTATTTAGAGAAGACGAGAAAATTTACTTTAAATACTGTCATGAAATATACAAAACAAACCCACAGGATGAAAGTCGGAAAAGCTGCCAAAATTTTGAATGCAATTTCAAACATGAGACAAAAAAGTACTACATTGGCAATTTCAACTTGTGACACAGTATATAGGTGGAAAAAACATGATCAGATACCAATGTTGACTGTTGTACAATTACGATAGTTTCATCTTACATAAAATCGTTCGTTTTGCCGTATTATTTATTAAAATGATCAGGTCCATTTGTTTTTATTGTATATCCAGTGAGGCCTAAGGTATTTGTTTTTCCATAAACTGAAATTGCATTTTCAGGAGTCGAATTCACAGATACAGATTAATAAATGGATTTATTATTGAAGTTATTTTTTCACATCAAAGAAACTCAAAACCTTTGACAAATATTACAAAATCACTCACATATGCATATTATGTTACAATTTTACTGTGTGACTACATTCTGGCATCCATATTATATTTTATACACTCTTTCTCCCACATTATCTATTATTTAAAGTTTTCAACTTGACTCGCTCATGAACAAAAGTTGCTCAGTTTAGGTCAGTGGTAAAACTATTCAAAGGTTGAATACTAACTGTTTACTATACTGAATAATTGTTCGCCTAAAAATTTCTAATATTTCTATATTTGCAAGAGAGTTCCTTTCTATTGATTATGTTTTTTTAATACTCTAATACAAGTCTGTCCTGACCAAATTCTACGAATATTTTACATTGGTGTTATGTGTAATGATTTCCACTAGAATATGTAAAAAGATACTGCGACACCAATGGTAAATGGAGAAAGATGGCATCAACGAATAATACATGGCATGACTATCAAGGATGTTTCACTGATGCATTGATCAGCAAACAGGCAATAGAAGATGAAATACGAGCTGGTGCCACAGGCGTAAGATTGTGTGTAGTATGCTATGTTGTTGTTGGGAGACTATTATAGCAAAAACAATATTTATGGTTTTCCATGGTTTTGATAAGTCGTTGCGATATCTGGAAAAATTGAGTAAGTTTTTGCAATATGCAACCACAAACCTGTTGAGTTTACATTTTTTGCATTGATTTATCAGATATAAAATTTCAACAGCTGAATAATTTATGAAACAAATCTATTTGCAGAGTTGTTGAAAAGTTTTTGAAGACCAATTTTTTCATATCTGCTTCTCAGCCTAAAAATTTATCTATAGAGAATAATTTGAATTTCACAATAAGAACTTTTTAAATAGCTTACCCAGGTTATTTCAATTCTTCCAAAAACACAGAAGATTATGAAAGATAAGGATCATTTGACAAAATCATTTTATATTTTAAAATCAATTTATTTATACTTTTCTTGAAATTTTATGAAATATTGTTTTTGCTATAATAGTCAAGTTACTGTGCTCATTTATGGTTGAAAATGTGTGTCATCCTAAGGTGTGGTTATGGTAGCGAATGATCATGCAATACTGAACAGTATTTATTAATAGCAATAGCTTGTAATGTTGTTTTCATTGGTGTGTTTCTATGGAATCATTAGGACTGGGCATTTTAGATGTTGGTGTCTCTTGATAGTGATTTGGTGTGTCGGTTTTATTCAAAATATTTTAATTTGCATATCATTTTTAATTTGGTGTCGAGTAAAAGTTTTTATACTGAAATGTTTATTAGACCAAAACTTTACTCATTTTTATCTCTCTGCTCATGGCGACCAGCCATAACATATTTTAAATTTGATTCATGCAAAGAACGAGCATCAGTTTGACAAAATCTAAAGTTATTTATTCTTTAAGAGAATTTGCTTGAAGAAAGGTCCATGATTACTCACTGAGCAGTAAAGAGCAATCACTAAATTAAGGGCAATCACTGGAATGCCAAAGTCTATTTGAATTATGTAGATTTACGAAAGTGCATTATCGCACGAAAATGCCGCTTGGTGCGAGTTATGAAGTTTTATACAAGTAACACCTTTAGTTTTTGGTAAAAATCTAGCATTAAAGTTTTTTGTTTAGAAGGTACACTGACAGTGAATGAATGACAGCTCATTAATGTCTAAATGCTCGGTCCTTTTCATGTTGATGCTATAACGGCATATTGTTTATAACCCAAAACACAAATCGGTGTAACAAGAAATATCATAATCGCATCCTTGATTCATTATTAAATGATTAATATTCAGTAGAATGAATGTGCTTTGCTCTCAATAAATTGAAAATGCAAAGTTAATTTTGGAGAATAAAGTCGTTATCAACGTTGTTTTGAAGAGCTTTAAAGTATTGATCTAATAGAAGAAAAAGGATTCAAGAATTTTTTTAATTAAGAGGATGAATGATAATAATTTTATAATAATATTAGCTAAATTAACGACTGTAAATAAAACTAAATTTTGAGAAGTTTCTGAAACATGCATACTAATATCTACGAGTATGTGACACACGGTAGGACATTCAAACAACTTGAAAATGTTTTATGAATGTTGATAACAAGCAAGTTTTAGAATGGCAATTAAATGACAAGTCTATCATGATATTTATCAGCAGATTTAAACATGTTAGCAGATTTATTGGTATGCATGTTTCAAAACTATTTTAGTGTTTTGGCAAACTGCACATTTTATTAACTGATGATATAATTTGCACAATAGAGTAAGGATTGTGAGCACTGGTAGAATGATTTTTATTGCGTAGCCATATTAATGGTAACGTTTTTTTCATATTTTGCAGAATGAATGTCTTGTCTCCCTGACACCTATTTTTAAGTTTGCGATGTTATGCATTATTCAGTGTTTTTTCTGATAAAAGTTATTTTTCTTGTTATAAAACCCAAATCAAAGAATAGCCCATAGCCAAGAAATTAGGGATTATTGAGCTTTGCCGCCAATATAGTCATTTTGTTACCATGCTTTTCACTGAATATAATTAAAATTTTGTGATAATGTTGCTATAATAGATCCTATGGCAAAAGGGTGGCTGGCCAACCTGCTTTCGACCGCGATCGGCTAAAATCTTACTAATAGCTCGGTAATAAGGAGTTAGTACTGAATATGCAGATAACTGCATACACACATACAAAAAATTCTACTGCTGCCAATAAGCTCGGCTCAATGGGCGCTTTTATTAATGAAATTGCCACACAACAGGCGCAGCATGAAATTGGTTCAAGGCGCTTTTTTGGGGTTTGTTAAATTTTCACTCAAAATCAGACGCGATCGACTACCTGATTGATCGCAATTGAGGTGTTGGCCACCCCTGTTAGAGCAGCATAATTAAGCCAACTATTTTGAGGCATTTTTACCCAATTATCCAATATATGGTATATCTAATTCAAATACACACATGTTGACATGTAATTTTTATCTAAAATTGTATTAGCTAAATCAGAGATATCTATTTTTATTTTAAATATTTTCGTTCATATGAGAACTATTCTTTTAGCCAGTCACTTACAAAATATTTTCACCAAATTCATTGCATTTTTTATTTGTGGAATTTTAAATGGATAAAATTACACCTCAATTTGACCACACCATCAAGTCAACTATACCACAATGTTTCAACCTATGGTGTAGATAAGCTTTATGACAACACCTTAGATCTTATCGGCTGTGTCAAATTACAAATTTCTTCAAATTTTTATTCAAATATTTTTCGTTTGTGATTTTACTTTTCAAGTCAAGATTCTTTATATGACTTGATAAGTTATTTATCAATGCTTCAGGTACTGTGTCCATTTTTCATTGCCAACTTTTTGAATGAAAATTTTTTCCTTACAGCCACATGCCTTCAGTTTCATTTTTGTCTTCTCAATCTTCTCTCATACTTCTAGATTTTTATAAAATTTAGAGATACTTTGGTTAAATCATTCTTGATAAATAATATGGAGTAAATTTCATGTTCTTTAAATCTTTTTCATTTCAGGTGAATAATCATTGTATAGCAATTTATAGACTGATTTTATTTGAAAATTGGTGATAAATTTTCAACTTCCAATGAGCGGAGTTAAAAAATCTTATTTAGATTTTTTAAAGCAATTTAATAAATATATCATTTCCTTCTTGCATCGTATTCATACATGAGTAGTAATTGCTAGTAATTAATATAAAGCAATCTACCCAAATCCTATCCCTAATTTGAAAAAAATGGTGTTGTTGGCACTTTCTCAATATACCGCAGCATTTGTGGAATTTCGTACCGGTACATCTTTATGTACTAATGTCGAAGAGTGAATTTCTGATTTTTATTTGATATTTGATATATCCAATTTAAAAGAATCTAAATCTTATGATTCATCTAGCAACTGCGGAATATCAAAAAAGATTTATAAAGATGAATTTTAGAATATCAAAGTGCTAGTTTGATGACATTTTTCCCAATACACATCTGATTATAAATTTCCATCATAATTCATTTGCTCTATCTTTTTGCATTCTCATTGACTTGGCTGCTGCCTCGGTACCAATATGATGAATCCCAATCTACTCATTGGATGCCGATGAAAACGCAACATTGAAACGGTTTGGTCTCTCTCTCTCTCTCTCATTCATCACAATTCTTTCCTAAACTAACTTTCAAAATATTCATCCAATAATGACAAATGCACACTTCCTTTTTAACAATCAAATTTTGCTAATGTGGTGATATCTGGTCATATCTTATCATATTCTTGGTGACACAAACTATTATTTGGCTTTTCAACACTTTTTATTACCTTTCCAAAAAAAATTTTTACTTCACATAAAATTAATATTTTTGATTTATTTCACAAATCTATTTTAACTAATATCGATCACATTTTCACAATTCAAAATGCGACACTTTTCTGTTTCCAACTACGCACTGCAAATTGTGCGCCTTTGGCAAAACTGCTGTTTATTTGCTACACCTTATTTAGGCTATGCTATAAGACATTGTGTTGAAGGTGGCCAGTGGGCCTTCAGCAAAGAAGCAAATAAAACTTGGGTAGATTATAGTGATTGCTATAAATATCTTCCTCCTGAGGTCGACTTGCAAGAAAAATTAGACGAGGTAATGGAGGGCTGTTAACAAATTACCACTTAATCATTATTCTATTTATATTAAAGCCTAGTTATATTGGTTTCAAATTGAGTTTGTATCATCTTTTTTGTGGACAAGTTATGAAAATACTTTATTGATATTTACTTTTGATTTCTTGTCATTTAGATTATCTTAGTGTTTTCAAGATGGATATGTTCATCCTTAAATATACCGTAGTTCTATTTTGTTGCATTAGTAGTGTAGCAGTTACGAATTGCCATTGGTAGAGTCACATAACACTTTTTGGGTTTTGTGAATGGCTGGCATGTATCTGCATGTAGTTTAGCATACTAACAATAAGTTTTTCTCATGGCTTGTATTTGATTAGTTATTTAAATCTATAGAATATTTGTAAAGTAAATTCCATCATATTTTCTATTTTTTTTTTATTAAGTTTTGGCAATACATTCTCAAATGACATGTAACATATTCTGGCTCATATTGAATTTCTAGTAATAGCGTTTTGCTGAAATAATTGTGTATTTCTTCTCAATTAAAATGGATGATCTACCAGTATATCGGTATTGTGTTGTGGATTTATCAGTTTTTTTTCAATATGTATCAATAAAAACATGGCAGCCCCATTGCTCACAAATTGTAGGATTCAAATATCATTTGCATCGTTGTGGTGGGAAAATTTATTTTCATCTAGATTCTTTCTTGCATTATTGGCTCGATATAAGATAGCGAATGTTTTTGTATTTAACACCATGCATGCCATCAATACTAATAATATTTTGTTAAATAATTAATAAGCTGGGTGTATCAGTCGTTTTTGTACTTTGATTGTATTTATAAACACTATTTCGCATCACATACTGAATTCCCATATAATTTGGAAATGTAACTGGTATTATGTATGAATATGAAATCAAATAATATAGATTTTCAATATGTTTATCCAAGTGTTATATAATTACATACAGTCAATATTAATATCATGAATTTGTATCTCATCTGGGATTCCGAGGTTGAGATTAAAATGTTCTTATCCCTATTTCTTAAATTCCTTCTTTGCCAAAGTTGAATGCAGACGAATGATTTTTTCGATTAACAATAAGCTTTTTTGATTGCCGAAAAAATTCAAAATCTGAGTACTGAGAAGATTTTGAAATTTTTTGTAGATTTATCTTTTTTCTAAATTTTTATTTATTAAAAAAAAAACAGTAAATTTTGATTAATTCTAAATGAATGAACGTAAAAGTGTAAAGAATAATAAAATTGAGATACATACTCATGTGGCAAAGGAAGAGTTTAAGGAAACTAACTAACATTCATCCCTGTATTACATCTTTAAGGTTAATTTCCTTGTTTAATTTGTTTTTTATATTTTTCAGCCTCATATGAAGAGTATGATACAACTTTATACTGTTGGCTACTCATTCTCATTAGTAGCTCTCACATTCGCTATGATAATTCTTGCCTACTTCCAGTAAGTATTTGGTTGCATATTTTTATTTTATTTTAATAGGCTTCTGCAGACCCTTTGCTATGAATAAGACTATCTGCTGCTCCAACTGACATCTGGAAATATGTAAGGGATTGTAATGTAATTATTTGAAAGCACCGAAATCTTCCTAGTTTTGAATCACTACTCGATTTGTTACGCACTGGATGAGGTGGGCGTGGGATTTGAACTCAAGATGTAATCTGCAATGAAAACACAGTTATTAAGTCTAACGCTCTAACTGCTTGATCATTGTTGATACCCAAACAAAAAGCATTATTGTTTTATTAGTTTTGAGTTCTGGCGTGTTTGTCTAAACAAAAATAGTTTGTGTGTGTGTGAGATGGGCAAATGCGCTTTTGTCAAGTTTATTGATATTTTCGCACAGAACTAAATATATCGTGATATGATTTGAATCAATAACTTTGTCTATATTACGGTAATTAGTTACGAGTTAAAGTTTGGGACTTGAAAATTGTATAAATTTAAATTCTTTGAATAGATTCAGGCTCTTGTATGAATGAAAAAATTTAGTCTAGAATTAGGATATTCGTTATGATATTTGTTTTTCGTCACAACCAAGATAAAATGATATGATCAGTTCATTTTATTTAAGTTTAATGAATCTGAACTCAACCCCAATGTTCAATATTAATTATTGTTGTGGTGTTTTTTTATTCTGGTCCTATTTCTCTTTCTTGTAATACATATCAATAAAGATGATCGCAATGAATTTTAATAACTATTGGTCACAATCTTCCTTTTATTAGAAACCAAATCTAATGTGGTCGCGTATTTGAGAGACTCGCGTATTAATCCTATTATTTTATTAATGCCAAACCCTCTGCCTTATTGAACTGTTTACGTTTACATAATATAGTACAACCAACGTCATATTGTGTTATAGATTTGTTTCTCCCATATTGAGATTGCATTGAGATGAATCTAATTACGGTAGGCATGTTCTTAGTAATTTTATGGAGACACTTTGCTATTTTTAGATAATGGAACTTAGTGAATATTTGAAGTGTCAGTATTGGAATAGTTTGACGTACAATGATCCAGCGTTTGACTAAGTAATGCTAAATTACAGTAACCCATAAGATTTTCGTGTTTCAATTTTATAATTTCTCCTTATAAAGTCTCTATTAATGAGTACAGGTATTTGTATAAAAATGCATCCAATTCACACCACCAAGTCTTTTACTATAGTCAAGTCAAGTAACTTTTACAATATGTTCGTTTTGATCAAGCATGATCTGCATATGTTACATGTTTGCTCGTATTAGTCCAATGAAATCGTCATTACATAAAAATATTAGTCATTCTAAATTATTTATCGATACTGCAAAAGATTTGATACTACTTCGTTTGGCCATTGTATCCATATATTTGTGCCTTACTCTTTTGTATATTACATTATTACTTGCTTAAAATTTAGTCCTTTTTGCACCTATCTTCCATATCTAGTTTCATGAAAATTTTATGAGAGTAGCTTGTAGTTAATAAAACTGCGAAAGATCGTATCTTATTTCATATAGAAAACATTATCAAAGTATGTTTAAAAGTATGTTAGGAGAAAAGTAAACTTTTTTATTCCTACTTTGATATTATAAAATTCATCTAACAATTATCAGAACCAAGGAAATATTAAAATATTTGCTCAATCAGTCAATTTGTTCTAACTTTTCAATGGATGCGTTGCGTATATCCTGTTAATAATCACACTCAAAATTAAATAGGAATCTAGGTTGTTATAAAAATGCTTGTCTAAGACTTGTTCAGAGTGAATATCAGAATCTCATCAAAAACTGTTACACTTATCATTGCCTAATTTTGTGACACGCCTTGTTTAACCTCTAATTGGTCCTGGTTTACATTTTCTGGGAAACAGTTTGTTTATATCAATTCTGTCTATTTTTCCAAGAAATCTATGATTAAGGCAATAATATGTTCGAGTCTATTTGACTATCAGTCCGACTTCTTTTGTCTACGATGATCTATTCCTACCAACTTTTTCTTTCTTTACAAATATTACTCAGTGGGTGATCGTTTAAATGACTCAAACACAATAGCAAGGCCACCAGCTAAGGGTTTTTTCCCATTTCTCTGTCTTTAATGATGGATTTGAGACAAATGCTTTGTGAAAAATGGACTTAAATGACTTATCTTGTTATACATTTTTACTGACTTTGAAAAATATTTAGTCAACTTTTCCTCTAAAGTTGTGAGTCATTTTTTAGTTCTGAAAAGTATTTTTTTGTATATTAAATTATTTTTGCTTAGAAATTTTCTTGGATGTCTTGCTTTGATAAAAACTAATGCAGCCCAGTCAATATCATTTACCCTCACATATGCATGATGAACCAAAAAAAGAACCTGTGTATTTATTACTTACTTTTACGAAAATAAAGAAAATTTATTTACTTTTGTTTACACCTGCATTTCTGTATATAATTATATCCAAAAGTTCCAGTAATCTTGGACGCTTTGTTTATCATTTGAAAATGGAAGGCACTTTGACTTTGGTGCATTGTCTTACGGGCTGAATCAACCAACTTTTTTTTTAAATATCAAAATAGAAAATCAATTAGTTCCCGATGCCTAATCATAATTAAATTAAGTCAAAATAAATTTGATTTCTTAAAAAATTTCAAAGTTCATTTGAACGTTAAATTGCGATTTTACATTACCTAATTCTGTTTTGGTCAAATGAATTGAATTTTAATTCACTTTAAAGATTCTGAAATCATTTCATCATACTGAGACCATGTAATTTATCTGTCATATGCTATAAATACGCAGCACTTGACAATTTACAGCTTTTGTAAAACTCAAATTTGGACAAGTTTTTCAACAACTTCCTGAAATTGTGTTACGTTTCTTATTAACCTTTTATTTCTCAATTTCAATCACGTGGAAATTCATTGACCGGGTGTTGAATGGTTAATATAAGAATTTGGTATATTTTATGTGATATAATTGAGGTCATTTTCACACGTCACAAAAGCATAGACATTTCAGAAAATTGAGTTTTATTTGAAGGCAGCAATTTTTTTTTGCTCGTAGGTGCGCCATGAGTTTTTTTCCTGATAATTTGGCAATAGAGGGTTTGGGAATCGCTGACTTAATAATCCCATATCTATGTCTCGGACCCATTATATATAATTAGTTACTCAATGTCATAATATAATGCACCCATGCCAGTATGTCAATTTGTACAAAAATTGGCAAATGCTCGTCATAGTAATCCATTTGTTTTGGCTGTGTTATGGTGCACTTCCTAGTTTCAAAACATCCCACCGGGGAAAGATATGATTGCTATTTTTATCTCATGACAAAAATGACATGACAAACTGAACCCTGTAGGGAATTTAAAAATAATTATTCAAATGCTCTCATCTTGTATTTGCATCATTCTCTTGTCGTCTCCAACATGAGTTTGATGTGTGTTCTGGGTATTGTAATCATTCAAGCAAAATAATAATAATGGAATATTCACGCAGGTCAAATAAGGTCATAAAGTTTCATTCAAATTAATTTTATAATGAGTTTTTCTTGGGTGGTTGTTTACTATATAATTAAAACAAATTATAATATAATAGAGGCTTTTTTAATAAACAATAGGCCCTCAATTATGCCACTCTTTGATTTTAATGTAGGGTTGCTTCCAAATTATATATCTTTCTTGATATTGTTGTGATGTATCTCAAATATTGTTGATATCATTATAAAAAATAGATGATATTTACCAGATTTTTTAAATGGACCAGCGATGATGAATAAAATGTACTTGACAAATGTTTTACGTAACTTTTCAAATATTTGGAAATTGAAACACCAAGAAAGTTTATACATCACACCTCATGTACAAAAAAAATAAAAATTTATCAAATATATTCAGAACATAGATATGTGATTAGAAAGTATTATTGTACTGTACTGCCCACCAGGTCGATGGCTATCATGCTAAGCGTTGGGAAGGTACTTGCCTTATCTTACTTACCTAGCTTGCTTAGGAATGTGCTTGCCTTATCTTACTCTGTACATGTTTGCAGAGATCAATCCTATGGGGGAAGCATTCAAACAAGTATCCGGTTAACTATCATGCCCACATGGACTGATAAGCGGATATGCTGTAGTTTGCCACACGGTTGGGCTGTCATATTGGCTTTCCTCTTCTGGGATAAATGAAAAAAAATCTTAATTTTATTTGATTGTTAGTGCGATAGGATTGCTGGACTCCTCGCCGCCGTAGGGTGGTTCACATAACCGCTGGTCGGTTACAGCTTCTATCATCAAGTCCATATTTCGAAAACAAATAACTGGCTAACTAATACCATACGCGACATGGACTGGTAACCAGATGAGAAGCCGTTTGAGCTGTTTTCTCGACTTTTCCGGGACAAATATAAATATCTTAATTATATTTGATTCCATTTTTGAACAGACGTCTTCACTGCACTCGAAACTATATTCACATGCACCTGTTTGCTTCATTCATGCTTCGTGCCATTGTAATATTCGTTAAAGATCAAGTCCTGTTCATTGGTGCTGGTATATTTGATATTCAAACCCAGACTAGTGAAACATCACTCGAAGAACTATGGGACAGGGTGGATTCACCAGGAGGACACACTTATAAAGTAGGAATTAGATCTTTTATGAAGATTCATATTTTTTTGATATAAGTTTACACTATTTTCTTCAATTTTTTTGCGTTATAAAAGTGTGTAGTCAGCCCATATTAAATTTAATGTCATGTCATTAGATTTGTGCATATTCAAAACTAGCCGACATGGGAGACGACAGGTCACGCAATATGATATGGAAGAGGCATGCTTTTTTTTACTTACGTTTTCGTAATTTTTTAACTTTGGTTTATCGTAATTGATATGCCAGTACAACATCTTAACATATGGTAAATTTTCTAGCATGGAATTCAAAAGTTTTAGTTCTAATTTTGGCGCTCCAGAGGAGTGTGTACCAATATGGAGGTAACTAATTTTGTTCGCCTACTTTACATCAAGTTGTGTAAAGGGACTGAAACCTATGGGCAGGGGGTATATTCACCCGAACTCATAATAGAAATAGAATTGGGGAAATCGGAAAAAAATTATGGCCTAATCCTAATCTGGCTATGAATGTGGTTGACGTTATGGTATAAAACGTGTGCATTCAAACTTGACAAACCAAAATTTTGTCATCTTCACGACTTTACACATTAACTTTTTATCTTCTTAATTTAGGTCGGCTGCAAAATTGTGATGACTTTATTTCATTATTTCGTTGCAACAAATTATTACTGGATCTTGGTCGAAGCTTTATATCTTCATAGTCTGATCTTCGTTGCCTTCTTCTCCGATAAAAAATATCTGTGGAGATTTACATTGACAGGATGGGGTAAGATATTTATCTACAATTCATGTACTCCATTTAAATTACTTCTAAATAAAACAGTAAGTCCCAACATTTGAAACTTCATAAACGGTTTCGATTTTAAAGAATCATCTAGGACAGTGGTTCCCAACCTCTTATGGGCTACCTGGCCCCACTTCCGGAAGATTATCATGGCCCCTCCATTTATCATTCCAGTGGTATCTGTACTGTTATTTTGATCAATATATTCCAAATCCCATTATGTTCAAACAATTGATGCTCAACAAAGTGAAAACACCAACTGAAATAACCTTATCAAGCAATGAAACTAGGAAGAACGGGGAGTTTCCTTGTGTTCCTTGTAGTATTGTGGCCCCCTCCAACTGCCCCCCCCCCCCCTCTCCCAGTTGGGAACCGCTGATCTTGGGATTTATTATGGATATTCAGTGAAACTTAAAATAAATTATCATCAGTAGTAGACAATAGAGTTTGAAAAAAATAAAAAAGGTATTATCAAGCTTTTACTTAATTAAAGCATGAATTACCTGTACTTTTTGGCCACAATTAAAACAAACAAAATGGCCTGATCACTAGTTAGGTATATAGTTTTTTAAAATATGCGCACTAGACTTCTCATCACAAACCTTTTTACTTCATAATAGTTTCTGGGCGTGATTTGGAATAAATTCAGTAGCCAATATATTCAAAAATATATGATATCCTGTTTACAAATAGGATAGTACAAACTTATTATTGCGTTAATTATTAAATAAATTTCTGAAAGTAGTCTATAATATTAAGTTATTTATTTATAAACTCTAAAATAAAAATAAAACTCTCCTACTCAGAATATAAACATAACTGCAACTTCCACGACAAACATGTGTGGGTTCTTGAAAAACACATCAATCATTATTATAACTACATAAGCATAACCTCCTTGAACTAATTGTATTTACATCAAATATAATCAGTCAATAAGTTAATGCATGTAATGTGTGAGGTACTTTAGATAATATCTCATCCATAATTTTGTGGGTAAATTTTACCTTTAAAAGGAGGTCAATTAGGTGAGTGGAACCTGACTTTGGATTTTATCGCATTTTTTCTTTGCTAGTCAAAATGAGCTCATTTTCGCTACATGTTTGATGAGCCATTTTTTTTCTGGTTAAGGAGTCAATGCTTTTTCAATCAATTTATTTACTTTATTCTTGTCTGTTTGCAAATTTATGACAATTGTCCATTTGGATAAATATTAAATAAAATTTACTTTTTCTTTCCACCTATTTTATGTTATGCAATAAAAATTCTTTTGTGAAACTGATCATGAATTCTAATTTCCTCGTCAATAAAGACAAATGTAACAAATAGGGACAACCAAGATCGAACATAAAAATATTTTGAATATGAAATATTTAATATATTTCAAATTAAAATCAATACGGTATATATTCTTACTGCAGAATGTATTCCTTTCTCTTCTTATATATTTATGCACATAATACAGAGTGTCCACAAAGTCCCTTTACAATTTTACTTTTGTTTGGAAGTCGGTTCTCAATATATCGTAACCAGGTTTGTTGTTTTTTAATCTGAAATTGTTCAAGTATTTTTACTTCATTTAATACATCTGTGAGCGCCAAAACAATATATGGTATCAATTTTAAAAAAATTAAAGACTTATGGACACCCTATATTATTATTTTTTACAGTGTCAGGAATTAATGAATTTTATATTTAGTCTGACCATTAACTGCTTATAATGACAACTTTCTAGATGAGAGCAGTCTATATAATCCCTCAAATCAAGAATTTACTATATTAAATATAACCAATGTGGGTCGATTCAAATATTCTAGTCACTTTGGAAATTCCTAATAGAAAATCAATTCTTCACATCATATTCCCTAGAAATATCAAATTTTAAAATTGTTAAAAAATAAGAAATAGTATAAAAATTGGCGCTCCAGAAGTGTGTGTACCAATATGGAGGTAACTAATTTTGTTCGCCTACTTTACATCAAGTTGTGTAAAGGAATGGGGACCTATGGGCAGAGGGGATATTCACTTGACTAACACAGACAGTCTCCGTACTCGTAATAACACCAAAATAAGGATGGAATAAAATTATGGCCTAACCCTAACCTGGTACACACACTACGTGATTACCCAAAAATTGGTACATTTTATTTTACTTATTTATTTCATTGTTTATTTTTTTTAATTTTCCAATATTCCTCCCAAATCACGTATCGACAGATAACTCCTGTTATCCGATCAGGAACTAGATTAAACCACATGACTACGAAGGTTTAGATTTTCCTCTAAACATACGTCAAACCCCCGTTATTCAGTGTCAAATTTCAAGTGCCCTACTTGACCTGATACTATTTTCCAGGTGTGCCGGTACTATTTGTTGTTCCGTGGGCGATCGTCAGAGGAACACTCGAAGACATACAGTAAGTTTTTTCTCTTCAAATCTAATAAACCAAGAGTATAGCTTTTTTTTTATTCTTGATTAAAAATCATAGTTTTCAGACAAATATTGCTTTTACACCATAATTTACAAAATCAACGTGATTTAAAGACTGGATTCAATGTAATATCAATGTACTGTAATATGTTTATGTTTATCGGATTTGATAAAAATTAATTTTTTGTCCCACCGTTATTGAAAACTCATTGTTTATTAATGATACTCTGTTTTAAAATTATGTTTATTAAGCATTGGTTTCGTAACATACAATTCACATCACTATACTGAACTATATTGAAAATTTTAAATTTGGAGTCATTGTCTTAAATTGTTAAATTGTTATGCAACCTTGTTTTCATTTACTAACTTTTTGCGAAATTTAAACTTAAATACATTAACTCTTTTCCTACTTTATATTGGCTTTTTAAAACTAGTTTTATGTTTTTTTTTAAATACCACAATAGGAAATTTATGTCAATTTATTCAAGTCAGTTTATTTTGATTTCTTTACAAAACTTAGTGAGTAAAATTATAAAGTAAGTAAAAAATATAAAGAAATGTATTTTGCAAAAGGCTATAATGACTTATACTGTACATACTACAGATTAGATTTTTAAATTCATACTCAATTAAAGAGATAAAACACTTTATCATCGTAATTTATATAATATATAATAACAGCATCTTATGCTCAACATTTGGGTATACAGATTCCTCTGGTAAATCTCAAATATTGCCAGAAAAAGTAAAACAAAAACAACAAAAAAACATGATATGAACAAGAAATATTTCATTCTACTTTAGTCATGCACATCCAATTGTGAACAGACTTATGAATTTGAACAATGAAATATTGTTTTTATGAAAATAGTTCTGAGATGTTCCCTGCGATGCCTGAAAGATAATTTAAGCCCTTGCTGACAAACAACATTATTGGTCGTGATTGACATTGGTTTATTGACCGTGATTCAGTTTGTTTTTTTAACTCGATTATTGCTTTGTTTAAAATTTAGGGCTTAAAATTTTTGGAGCTTTATTTAAAACTTGTTTTGCGCTATAGCTCTTTTTAAATTTTGACATTTCTTATCTTTCTCTTCCATGTTTTTGACCTTATATAGGAACAAGCATCTTTTTCAGCCAATATCATTTATTCAACCAAATAATTAGAAATTCCAGAAAAATTTTTCGGTGGGCATTTGCCAAAAACTGTCAAACTGTAATTTCATCTTAAAGTTTTTGAACATTAACCGAGAAATTAAATTTCAACTTGGTGCAATAACCGAATTCCATGAAAAACTCATTGAAAATATATTTTTATTTGTTTAAAAAAAATTTTGTGGTTTATTTGAAATATAAATGCAATGATATGATTTTCTGTTTGGAACTCGTCACTGCAATGTTACTAAATGTTGAGGTATTTCACATTAAAATTGTGGAAAATTGAATTAACTACCGGTATTTTGAATACAGTATAATTATGGGCATTGAGATCAAATGATAAAAATTAGAGTTAAGTATCAAAAGAATTGTACAGAAACAGAATGTTATATACAGATTGCAAATAAACAATTTTTGCACATAAAATTTCCAAGGCCTATGAAAGAAAGGTTTTCAAAATTAATTTGTTTGCTTCTCTATTAGTTATCATATTTATTTATTTTTTAAAATTGGGTTTGTTCATCAGTCATCATACATGCACATTCCATTTCTCTACCATTTACTTCTGATTGAGGTTAAAACTCAAACCATTTGTTAAAAGACAAATATTTACAAAAATTCTTCTTATTGATAGATCGTAGGAGAACAAAAATTCACTGAAGAAAAAATTATTTTTTTTTTATCTGAATACTATTTTTACCTTGGAAATAAAAGTAAAAATTCCTAAAATAAAAAAGAAACAATCAGACAAAATTTGGATTTTGGGGAAACCATATTCTCATGCTGTTATCTGTCAGCATATACTTTGTATACAGCTTCACAAATCCTGATCATGCTTAACCAATAAGCTACCATAACTCACACATAGGAAAATTATTTTAAATATTCCATCTAGTCAAAAAGCAGTGTTTTAGTACGGGCTTTCGTTTGCCCAAAACCAAAAATAGGGACGGTGGTGTAAAAAATTGCTGCTTTAAGTACATTATATCTGACAATGAATAAGTCAAAGTACCTCAAAATTAATGAAAAATCCTAAGAAAATGGCAAGTTTATTTTGCATGACCGCAAGTCTTGAAAATAGGGACACATTCTAAAAATTTTTCTCCTATTTTATTTTATTTCAAGAAACATGATACACTTGATAGTATCCCTCTCCCTCCCCCTTGCATGGGGGAAACATTTAAAAAAATATATGCTTACATTTTGACATCTATACATACATGTTAAGTTTCCTTAGAGTTCTATCACAAAGGTTGAATTGTGTATGAGAGGCGGCTTTTTCAAAGTAAATTTCACATTTTATTAAGAAATAAATTGTAAATACAATGTGAAGCGAAATTTTTCAAAATGCTGTTTATCAAAAAACTTTTATCCTTTTATTTTTTTCTCTTTTGTTTTCGCATTGAAAAAGAGATTTTGCATTTTTGACATAAGTAAATTTGCAGACTTTTAGGTTTTTATACTCCTACATCATTGATTGATAATTCTGATATTAAATTTTTTTCTTTTGAAGTTGTTGGGACATTTCAATCACAGAATATAAATGGATCTACAATGGACCTATTGTTGTTGCCAATGTGGTGAGTACTTTGTTCTACTTTACTGATACTATCTTAGAAATTCTATATTCTGTAAACAAGTAATTGAAAAATGAATATATAATATATAAGAGTCGTTTATGTTGATTCAACTCAGGGATGTGCAGCCTTTAATACAGTAGGGCCAAATAGAAATAACTGGGTAAAACCGCGGGCCGAACCTTTATTTAACATGATCTATCCAGGCAAAATAATTTTAGTTACTGATCTTGTGACATGCGTTCTTTGCACAAGCTAGCTGTTAAAGCATTATAAAGTCATAGATAATAAATTGGACTCGGGTATAGGCTTCGCAACGCAAAGGGTTTGGAATTACTAGCATGTACTGAATTAAATTAAAAACACACTTCGCGGGCCATACATCATTCAAAATTGGCTCTTCTCCGCAGGCTGCGCATTTTTTTTTTGCTGGCGCATTTGGCCACGAGCCGCAGGTTGCACACCCCTGATTTAGGTTTAATTTATAATAACATGACAAATCAACACAATCATTGTTTTATGCGGCTTCGGTAATTTCGGCATTTCAGTATATACTCGTAATTTTGATCAGAGATAAGTCTGCTTTGCCTCTAGATGAGTGCCATGGCCATGCTTTGAGCAAATTTTCTGTATAAGTCTATATACCGGTAATTCCAATAATTTGGGGCATTTCAGTGAAAGCCCGTAACTTTACATAGAGATGACACTTGTTTACTTCTGAGTTAGATTTTGCACATCCTTGCTTTGAGAAAAATCTCTCATAAAAAATATTATGGCGATCATGAAATTCTTGTTAAAAATTTTGATCAATTTTTAATACAATGCATCCACTATATTATAGATTAAATATAAGCTTCATTTGGAAGAATGTCCCTCACTTAAATAAAAGTATTTTTTGGCAAACGTGTATAGTTACACATTATCATGCAAATTTCTGACAAATTGTATTCAATTCTTATTATTCATGTTCACAGATAAATTTTCTTTTGTTCCTGAACATAATCCGAGTACTTTGGTATAAAATGAGGGAACGAGGTGCTATAAACAGATCGGACAATAGGCGACAATACAGGTAAACACATCTCTTTGGAACACGTTCAGCTGACAAATCAATGAAATGTTTATTCAATTCTGTAACTCTTAGTCACATTACAATAATCAATAATATTGAAGCTACTCAATTGAAATGAATTCCATGTTGATATTGAGTGATTTGTGAATTTGTATGACATGTAATTAAAATTTCAACGAGTTTTATTGATTATTGAACTTGGATCGTATATGCTTCAGTTGTTTATACCCTTATTACAAATTGATTTCATATATACTATTATTATTCTTTTATTGGCCTTATGTATTGTATATCATACCGTAATCGGAATCCATATATTAATAAATAATACGCCAATTTTTTCTGTTGGATTGAGTTGTAGTTCAATAATATTATTATCAGCTATAAAGTATCATTAAGTCCATACATCTGAAAACAAATACCTGATTAACTAATCACATACCTGACATAAACTAGTAACTGTACGATAGGCTGCCGTTTGCCATGTGATTAAGACGTCTTATAGGCTTTCCTCTCCCTCAGCATAAATATGTAAATCCTATCCTAATGTTTTGCAACTTTTTTCAAATTTAGGTATTTTCAGTGTTTCGTAAATGATATATTTAAAAATTTGCACAAATATAACAAATTCTCTAAAACACTTCCAAATTAATATTTCTCATGATTTAGTTTTATCCATTTAATTAATCTGATTCAGACTTCCATCATTTCTGGCCTGTCAGTCATGCTTATGGCAGGGTCTGCTCGGATTGTGTAAGCTTGTGTATCAAAAATATATTAGACTTTTAAAGTAAATAAGATTTGTTTTGGTGATTTCTAGTTTTAAGGCATTTAATAAACACTGTGACCCTATTAATCCTGTTGAGTTTAGAGTCTATTATTAATGTAATTATACTTGTATATAGGGTACCTGATATTATGTCTGAATATAGAAAAAATTCGATTAGCGCAATTTGAAATTTTATTTTTTTGGAAATAGTAGAAATTTTGTAATTATTCGTTTTGGTCACACTGGTTTGGTTTACTTTAAGAAAAATTTTGGATTATAAAACAGTTCGAATGAAGTTCATTTGAGTAAAACAACAACTTTCGATAGATGTGATCAACATGAAGAAAATATACAAAACAGAAGCGTGGAAATTGCTCTCCCGCTACTGTTTAAAAATGATGATAAAATCAAAAATTACAGTTGTACTAAAAAAACGAAAATATGTTATCGACTTTCTTGACGTCAACAACCTAACCGTGACTAATTTTTATTGAACGTACTAGATTGTAGGTGGTAATCAAAGCTATGATGACAGACGATTTTGCATAAATTTTACCCGTAATGTGGAACAATTTTATACAATTTTTGATTTAGTTTGATACATGCAAATTTTTTTCTCTGATGATCGCCTTTGATTTTTGTTTGTTTTTTCTATTTATTCCATTTCGAATACTCTATGTACCCTATATTTTATATAAAACATGACTCGCACAACAAATAAAAATAGGATATTCACCAGAGAAAAACGAATTATCTTAAATTTAAATTTCGTTCATGCAAATTTCTGCATTGGATAGCAAGTTCAAATAGGAATGGCCGAAATAATCTATTATTTTAAATACATTTTTGAATAATATTTTTGAATATGAAAACTTATTTAAAAATGGGTGATGCTTAGCAATGAACACATAAAAGTAAAAGCGTGAGTTTGAATTTGAAAATACCTGAATGTCGAGATAAAATAGTGATTTGAAATTTGATCCGTTCTCAATTTTTCTGCTTTCAGAAATTAATTTGGATATTTGTTTTCAAATGAAACTGTTCTAATGTATTGTGAAATCAGGAATTCAAAACATTGAATTTAATTTATTCTAAAACAGTTTGAATGTTTGATTTGTTTTGGACTTCCCACGCATAAATTAGATTTTGTTTTAGCTGTTACAATAATACATGTAAATTTCTTGCAAAAAATGGTTTTTGTTGTATAAATTCTCAATTACGCTGCGCTGTTTGATGTTAAGTTTTTTTATCCCCCATTTTGAGTTCTCTTTCATTATGTACATTCATGCAGAACCTAATGCTATTGTGTTACTTTCTTTAGGAAACTAGCGAAATCTACACTTGTTCTCATCCCGATGTTTGGAGTTCATGCTATTGTGTTCATAGGAATGCCTGATAACATAGAAAAAGGTTTATGGTGGGACATCAGAATGTATTTTGATTTATTCTTCAATTCATTCCAGGTAAAGTATTGTGCAATACTATGAGAGCATAAATTATAAAGTTTCCTAAATGAATTATCCTATTCGCATATTTATAAAATCGGCATATAAGTTATATATTTGATGAAAAAAGTTACTGAAATGAATGGCAAATGGCTTGATTTAATATACCATAATCTTCAATTAAAAATGGTTTTTCACATATTCCACTTAATCTTGCAATATCTGAATAGACCACAGAAATATTATTTTTACGTTAATTTGTCTAAATCGTAACTAAATTCTGATTTATGGTAATATTATGGAATATACTTTACTTATTTTTCTGTAATCAGGCAATTTGAATATTATCAGTTTTATCTTATCTAATCAGTTATCAATTTTTATCATCATGTGAATCATGGTATCTACTACCTAATTGAGAATCTCATCAAAATTAAATGAAGCATAAATTATAATTTCTTGATATTTTTTGAAATTTTTAAAAAGTAAAATTTAAATGTCATTCAAAGACTGAGGTCAAGTTTATAGTATTTTCTCCCAAAACTTAAATTGATCATGACCTTCTTCAGTAAATGTTTCAACTTCATGCTATTTTAATCTGATTATCTTTGTTTTTTCGTTCAGGGATTCTTCGTGGCGATTATTTACTGCTTCTGTAATGGTGAGGTGAGTGAGTCATACATGATATGAAAATTAGATTAGTTAAAGAAAATGTGCTTTCTGTCTGGTGGGTTTTGCTATTAATGAAATTGTTCGGTAAAGTCTGGTATATCGAAAATAACAAAAAGAATGAATATTAAATATTTTATAACGGAAAATATATATTTCATAAATTATTGTTATATTATTTGTTTTTATCAGTAATATTATAGGTATAAAGATAATTTTTTTAAATTTAAAAATTAGAAAAAAAAAACCTAAGTTTGTGTAGAGATTTTGTCTGAATGAAAGTAATTTTGAGGTATTTTAAAAAATACCAGACAAGTCTTTCTAAAATTATTTTTCAACTTAACATCGGATGTCGACAACTAAATTTGTAGTTTGGTCTAGTAGCTACGAGAAATATTTCGATTCTCCCAAACTTCTTGTCTAGCGGACCAAACTACTTGTTCAAAACCCTGATCAGAGTGAAAGGCATAGAAATTATCACAAACAAAATTATGAAATTCTTGTTAATTGTTATACTTACATTTATGTTCAAAAGTCCCTATTTTCCTTGCTTTGTTTGTATTTGAATATTCTACATTTGCATATACACCTTTTTATTGACCGAATATTCAAATATTAGCGATCTTCTCTAGTGAGCCTCAACAAGTAAAGGAATTCCATTTGGCTTTGACCTCAATTTGTACTTTGACAACGTAATGTAATTAAGGCTACTTGCGCTTGAAATCGTGCAACAATTAAAAAGAAACTTGAACCTAATGGTTATTTAACTTTGTTACTGTCTGAAGTGATTGGATTTTATCTTTGTGATCTTTCTTAATAAAGTTGAATAATAATTTGATTTTACTTTACGATTTTGTTAATGAGTCTTTTACTTTCCTGGAGCAAATTTATAATTGGCGTGACAGCCTCCCTAGAGGTTAAAGTTTCGTACTTGGTGATCTACGTTGGTGTCAAAGGTTAAAAATCTAAATTCCAAATCCCACTCTCACTACTCACCCAGAGTGTGATAAATTGGATAAGCGGTGCCAGAACCAGAAAATCTTCTTAAAATAAAATGTCTCTTCCATAGCTGCTTGTACCCTAAAACAGTGAATTTATAAAAAATATGCATATAAGCCGACCCCACAAACCGTACGCTCTTATCGTGAGAACTTAGCATGGTTCGAGTTGTAGCGGTTGGAATTAAGTTAGCATAATGTCATTTTGTTTGAATGGGATCAAAGTTATGTGCGTATAAGCCGACCCTTTAGTTTGACAACTTTTTTTTAGTTTTAAACTCAGCTCATATGCGAAGATATATGGTATATAGCGGAGATATTCCATGGAAATATAATTATACGATATGCAGTTTTTTTTTCGTCACATATTAAAAAATTTCCATTGCAAAAGTGGACAAATTTTTGGTTTGATAGTAAACAAGGGTATTTGTATTTCAAACTTTTGACATCACACAAATAGCTTATTTGGATAATTTTCAAGGCTTATCAGGTTCAAGTTTCACGATTAGAAACTGTGACTCTTGTTGCCACAAAATTCATGTCTTATAATTGCACACGACTTCTACTCCTTCATTTATTATTAATGGATTGATTTCCACATCAACCCCCTCAATGATGCCATGATCACTCAGAGACAGAAATATCCTGAAAAATAGAGAGAATAATACTGAAAAATAATTTTAGCAAGTGTTAATCTTTCAGCATTATTTCATTTGACAAATTGTTTGACATTTGAAAAGTTTCTCAGAAAATTGAAACTTAAATCATCTCCTCTATATTTGCATATTGTAAAGAAATATTTAATTCGTACACACATAATTCTTATCAAAATGGTGGATCTCCGTTTATATCGCTTCGTTTTACATAAATGCTTATTTATAGTCCTAAAAATTGGTGAAAATCTTTTTTATATCATTATATACAGATATAGATTGAATATTGTTGAAAGCAGAATATTTCTTTATTTCCTTGGATATAGTTTTATGAACCAATTTTTTAATTACAAAAACTGTTTCAGAAATACCAAACTGAGTTTAACTCTCATAGGAAATTAACCATCTCTAGAAGTTATCTTGAAAGGTTTTCTCAGCGGTGGCAATTTTACCAATAATATATATTCAATTGTGTGAAATAATCCTATTTTTGATATTGAACCTCAGACAATTTCAATCTATGATTTCACTTTTAATATTTGCACTTCACATTGTAAATGAATATTGAATATTCTCTTTTCTTCAAAAACTAAAATCTGGTGAATTTTTTCCTTTCATCATTTCTTGAGTATTACCGAATTTTGTCTTATCATAAATGTTTACATATATTACAAATAAATATTGAATGTATATTCATTTGGCTAACACAGACAGTCCCCAACTCGTAATAGAACTAAAATAAGGAAAATTATGCAGAATGAAATTATGGCCTAACTCTAACCTGGTGCACACACTACAGGAGTACCATTAAATGGGATTCATGTTAGTCTTTTTTTCAAAAATTTTCTTCAGCAAAGAATTTAGCAATATCCATTTATTATTGGTTGAATATTACAGAATCCTGTTTTATAATGAATTTTTATTTCGAGTAATTAATTGATACAATTTCAGTAAAATCATGTTTTATTCCACATAAATTATTAATTCACTTGAAAATTGCTAATTTTTACAAAAAACACTATTTTATTCAATCTAAATTTCATGAAATAGATATCTTTGAATAGTGTAAATTTTAAATATTTTTAAATTGTGTTTTCCCCCACCAAAAATGTTGTGAAAGGTTAATATTTGACTTCCCAAATTATTAATAAAAAAAATTCAAAAAGGTTTTGTTTTCAAACCGGATTTTTTCTCCATCTTTCATTAGTTCGTTAATGCATTCGACGACAGACACAGCACGAACTCTCTCGTGTTAAAATCCAGCTCAGAACCCGCCGATCTCAGTGGAATGTTTGTTTAGTACAACTCATGTATAATCCATAACCCGCTCAAAATGGTTCCTTCAGATTACAGGAATGAATCTTTGTTATTTTAACATATATTTCATGTTGAGCCCCAAAATAATCTTTATTTACCCAAAGCATTAAAGTAGATTTAAATATTCGAACCTGTGCCGCAGTTTCAATTATCAAGAAGGCACGTCTAGTCCAAATTCTGCTCCTGCGTCAAAGAAATTGCGTGCAACAGCATTTCAGAATTAGACATTTTCTTTTATATCACAAACTTGGAACTATAACATACATGCTTGATTTGGTGGTATTTTTTGTCCCATACCCGATCAAACTAAATTTGTAGATAATTTTGTAAAGAGTACTTATTGTGTTCATGGTATGCTTAACTTTGTACAAATAATTAGAAGAGCTAAACAAGTGTTTTTGTTGTTTCTTCCGGCCACCTGTATTGTAGGATAGACAAAAATATATGAAAAACATAAATGAAAGCATGATTTGTTCTGCTGCCATTTTTTTATTTCCACATTTCTGCTTGAGAATTAAAGCTTTGAAATTAAATTTGAAATAATATAATAATTAATTTTGGTTTTTCGGAAATGTTGAAAATTTGATGAATTTTGAAAGAGGAAAAATTCCCGTGTCACAGTTACGCTATAAAAATTTTAGCATTGGTTCACGTCTTCAGTTGAAGGCGATTGCGATAGGGAATTAATTATATTATTTTATATCAAAATCTACTTATATTAAAGCTCAATCGTAATTTTATTGCTAAAATATATTATTTTTTCTTCGATGATATAATGTTTGGATTTGAAAAAATTTTGAGAAATAGATGTTTTTGACTCTGAAATATCTTTTTTGAATTTTCGAATTCATTTTATTTGAGATCGATGTTCAAAAATTAGCTAAGTAATGATAATTTTATTTACAAGTTTGAAGTTTTTAGTTGAAATAAGTGATTACCGGTGTCTGATAACTGAGCAATTATTTGGCATATTGTGATAAATTATTTGTAAACAGAAAAGTCTTCTTTATCACTAATGTTCATAATGGATTATTGACTTGCATCCTTAACCTTGGAATTTTTGACATAAAGCATTCTATTTAAAGTTGTGAACAACTTTGGCAGAAGTACAACAAGTTTAAGAACTTTGCAACATCAATAAGAAGTTGAGAATAATACTCTATTTTCCCTGGAGAGAAATTCCAGAAGCTATGTACGTGTTTGCACGCGCGTCACATGAATATTTAAGTCTGATTTTTATTTGTGGTCTCTTTAATATTTAATATCTTCTGACGTCTGACACAGTTTTAGACATTTGTAACACGTCCCATTGTATTTAATGTTTTATTCATTAATGACGGAGCAATATTAATAGGATAATAAGCCATGGATAATTGGAATGTTGGCATGCAAGGGAGATTGGAATCAGCGCTATTGGAATATATGTAGTATCCATAAAGTCTTAACAATATTTAAAAATTGCAAAGTGAATTTATCGATATCATATATTGTTTTTGCCCTCACAGATGTATTAAATGAAGTACAAATACATAAACAATTAATAATTAAAACAACAACAAACTGGGTTAAGATATATTGAGAACTGACTTCATAACAAAATTAAAATTGTAAAGGGACTTTGGACACTCTGTATATCTATGGGTAGTGTTTCTTGAAACCTAAAATATATACTGTTCAGGTGTAATAAAACACGCATTCAACATTAAATATAAAGCTTTGGACTTTATTAGCAATTTAAATCTTGTTCATATTTTATCCAACCAAATTCCCAACAAATCTTCTTATAAATTAGGGGCAATATGCCCTGGGGAGAGTGCGTTTGTATTTTATCGAGTTTTATATAGCACATGACTAGCCTTATTCACTGTGTCTGTGAACACATACCGGTACTTGGGCGCTCCACAAGTGTGTGTACCAATATGGAAGTAACTAATTTTGTTCGCCTACTTTACATCAAGTTGTGTAAAGGGACTGAAACCTATGGGTAGGGCGTATATTCACTTGGATAACACAGACAGACTCCGAACTCGTAAAAGAACTAAAATAAGGAAAATTTGAATAAAATTATGGCTTAACCCTAACCTGGTACACATACTACTGGAGTACCCATACTTGAAGAGATATTCCATTGTTGTATTCTAAAATTGTAATTGAAAGATATAATAAGCATAAGAAATTTTTTATATTTTCTGCCCATAAGCTTCAGTCCCTTTACATAACTTGATGTAAGGTAGGCGAACAAAATTAGTTACCTTCATATTAGTACACGCACATTTTTTTTTGTATTTTTATTTATTCAACGGCGTTCTAATCTATTTCTGCCTCTGTTTTTTATTTCAATTTCATATTCCACATGTAATTGTTTTACACTGCCGTCATTGAACAAGACTTTGCAGCATATAACATTTTTCATGCATTAGAGAATTGAAATGTATTTTTGTGGTGAATTTAATCGCAGAAAACATATTCATTGACATGCTTTTTGACTTTTAAACTTGTATTTTTTCTTGTAGCTTGGTTAATGATTACATTTTTTTACTCAACATAAGCAAGATACGCTTTATATTCATGCGGATACAAAAACAGACAAATGAGCCAAAATATATGGACACATAGGTCAAAGTTCGTATGATAGGTTTCCATAATTTTCCAAATTTTCGGTGTTTTGTACATACAATACATAACATGTTTTTTAAAATCAAATAATTTGTATTTTACATCCAAGTCTTCAACTGTATGGACTACATGCAAATGATTCAAATATATCCTTGAGTATTATAAAATCAGCAGGACATGCATGCCAACTGCGACTATGCCATATTTCCAACTTCTCTTAGGCTTTCCTAGTCGATTAATAAAGTATTGATTAACAATGTGAACATAGCAAGTCAATGTTCGACTCAAGCACACCACCTAAATGTAACACACTATGATTATGCTCCACTCAACTAAAAATATTTTTTACTGTCTGCTCATCCAGACCCTTGTTTGAATATGATTTATGATATAATTAATAAAAATCATTTCAAGGATGAATAGCCAAATTTGATGATGATAGGGTATATTTTTATATTCCTTTCATTCTAAACTAGGATCTGTGCAGGCTTGAAATAAAAAGTGTTACAGTTTGGAATGACTGCAATCTTTCTGGTTTAGCATTGGCTTTACACCAGTGGTGGTTCCCAAACCGTGGGCCAATTACGACCCGCATAACAATTTAATATGGCCCGCCGAACTTGAGTGAAATAGTTTAACACTTTATGTTTCTAATTTTTTGCGATCCAGATACCGCCAATTGTTACGTCATTATCACAGTTTAAGCTTGTTATTATTCGTAACAATTCAATCATACCGGTATTTTAATTATACGTATCGATGTCGACATCAATCCCTTGTGGGCGCCATTCTCTCCCAGTTCGCAAATATTCTTCCGCTTCTAGTTTTGGCTTGATGACACTGCTTTACAGCATGGGATTTGAACCCAAGAATTTTGATCAGCAATGCCAAGGTGGTGTAGTCAACACCTAACACTTTGACCACCGGCCAGGGTTTCTTAAACTGTGCCCTTAGCCCCCAAGCTGGGCTCATACGGCTTGGTATTGAGTGGGCCACAAGCATAGACCTTCACACGGTATCATTTGATCATGAAAGTTTGATATCCACTCTGCTAATTGAGCTAATTAACTTTTTTTTTTAGGTTCAAGCAGAGTTCAAAAAAGCTTGGGAAAGGTTCAACTTGAGTGTTGAAATGCAACGAGGTAATAGAGAAAGAAGTCGATCATCAGTAACAATGTTGACCAGCTTTAATAGTTCGGTGTCTCAACAGGTACCAATGCATTATGTACCTACACTTATAACCTCTCATTGCATGAAATCGTGCATAATATTTTGTGTTAAATTTTGCTTGTTTGAAAAATGCTTTGTTCATGGTATTGCATTCATTGAGAAAAGAATGATTGTGAAATTGTGAATCTGAAAAAAATGTGGGTTGATAAAATGTACTTGGGGGTTTGGAACAATCGAATCTTAATTAAATTAGGTATTAGTATTATGAAGATTTCTGTCAAACGCTGGTCTAACCGCTAAAAAGTTAAAATTTTTAGAAACAGGGAAAATTTAGGCCACTCTAAGATTGAAAACCTTAAATGATTCTGAATTAAAATGAATTCTACAATGTTACACGTATTTGGAAAATTTGATACAGGAAAAAATTAGAAAGTTAGTTATGGGTTTTTATTGAGTTAAGAAGTATGATTCCTTCTATACTTATACTATGAAGGTAGAATTCAATCTACCGGTGAGTATGAAATTACGTCATTACATTCTTTGTATATATTGCAAGTGTTTGTCTGCAATTCGCTTGCATATTTGTGTGAGCATCTTGGAAGTTTTATTGGTAAAATTATTATGAATTATTGGTAAATGTGTTAAAAGTTACAGTTATCAAGAGACATTTTCCTGAAAAAAGGAATGAAAGGTTTTTTGGTTACTTATCTATTCTAATCCAGAATAAATCAACTGGAACTCCTATTTATATAAACATGCGTGATATTAATTAGTAATGTGAAAATTTTCCTATTTAAAGTACTCAATCTCTCTTTTTTTGTAAAATGTCATCTAAATTTATAGAACCTAATCATTTTCGTGTTATCACTTTATGAAATATTTCCTTTCAGGCGAGGTTGTCTATCGCAGGACAGGGCAACCGCCGAAATTCAAATGTCGTCAAAAACTGTTACCAGGGAACCAACAACAACAATGTGTCTACTTCCATGACAACGGCCTTGAACAGATCCAATTCAATAGAATATAAAACTCCACTACTGGAGGAAGTTAAAGTAATGTTGATTTATAAAGAAAAATTAGTTTCAGGAGATTATACTAAGGAACCCTTATTAGTCTATGAAATCATTTTATTCATTCTTTTATGTCAAAAATCAAAAAAATCCAATTTTACAATTCTGCACTAAGTTTGTTGAAAAGATTGAAGGACAAACATGATGTAATAAAATGTTCCCATTATGTCATGTGAAAAGTGTTCTCATGAATTGGAATAAAATAAACAAAATTTTGGTGAAATATGAGGAGCATAAAAAATTTAAAAGGAATAGCCATCTGGCAACTTTCTCCATCTTCAAGTGCTGGAAATTTGAAATCATTTGTTTCATTAGTTGCCGGTAGAAGGAATTTTTATCAACAAGTATAATTTAGCTAAACATCCATAGTATCTAAAAAATAGCATTTCCAATTGGTCTAGAACAGGCATGTGCAGCCTTTAATACAGAAGGGCCAGATACGAATGACTGGGTAAGATCGCGGGCTCCACCTACATAGGCTTTCTAGTAGTCGCAGTCACAAAAATTTAGGTTATTGATCTTATGTCCTGTGTTGTTCGCTTTGCACAAGCTCAGCTATAGGCTTTGGAATTACTCACACAGACTAGATTAAATCTAATTTAAAACTCGTGTCGTGGGCCGCAGGTTGCACGCTCCTGGAATGAGGAAAATGTTTTTGTCGATAAGCCGTGTTTATTAGACATTGAGTAATATTTTTTTTCAAACAGGACGAACACAAGACTACTAATTTAAGCAATGGATCAGTCACAGTGGTCCGAATGCAAAAGGAAGATTTTCTATTGAATTTGGGAGACGATGAACATCTCGCTCCTTATGCATCGTCAACTTGCGTTACAAACGAAATCCGATCTATCCCAAAAATTATGGAGGCTGACGAAGAAGATTATGAAGAAAAACGTTTTGAAATGGCGTTAGAAGAATGTCCGTCAAAAGAAAACTCGAGTTCAAAACCCTTGGACGAAAACGTTGTAAGTAAATACGACTCCAGTAGCAGCAGTGAGATATCAAGCGACTCAAATCGTGCTTCATCATGTGGTACGGACTCGGTAACGGACAATTCATGTAGGAGAACCCCGTCGTTTGATTCTGGAATTTCATCCATGTTAGGTGGAAATCCAAGACTCTCGACTGTATTTCCTTCAGATAGTTCAGATAAAAATAATATCTCTGTGACTTCAGAAAATGAGACCTGAAAATCGTGCCATGTTTTCATTCTTAGCACTTCCTATATTTGACGAGTTTTTTTTACTCAATAATCACTGATTTTGGATATTTTTATATCTTAACAAATACCATATGCTGTATCACCTTATCAATATGTTGATTGTGAAAGCATGATAATAGTAATGCCATCTTATATGCCATACAAAATTAAATTCTTGTCAAAAGTTAACATTGTCACCAAACTGCTCTGGAGGTCTCTGATTTCAAAATATTTATTTGGAATTAATTTGGTCAGGTTTGGGTATTCAAACCCATTTTGACCCGAGTGATGTCGCTATGTTTTTTACAGAATGCTGAAAGGAATAGTATCTTTATACTTCCAGCCTATTTAAATAAATGTTAGTACCTGCTGAAGAGAGTTGAAAACGTTATGATAAAACACTTACCCCAAAAGCCCTGAATGTAGTTTTACCAAAAAAGCCAAGTTTGTAAATTTAAATTCGAAAATAAACTATTTGAATCGCTCATATTGAGTTGCATAGTTTTAATTCTGACTTCATATTCATAAACGTATTGCTGACCACAAGTTAAGTGGTTCAAGTAACTAAATTTATTTTATTGTGCACGAGGCATGTTAGTTATTATTTCCTGTATCACTATACTTACGGTAAATGCATTATTGTGCATTCAAACTTGGTGCTGATTCATTGTATAAATTTAGTAGTATATCATCACAGCCATTTCATTTTTAGTACATTTTGTTTATCTTAAACGTTCTTCATTTTTTACCTATTTTTTCATTTTAATTTCTGACGATAACATCCTGTTCTATATACTTATCTATGTTCCTACCTAGTCATGTAAATCAAATTTATATTGAACAAAATCTTATCTGCAGTGTTTGAGTTTTCGAACAAATAGGTAATTAGTAAGCTGTTTCTTAAATTTGCAGTGTATACTTCCTTATAGTGTTGACAATAGTGTTCAATAAATTACTTTTCTATATCATACCACATTCCTAGTTATTTGTAGTACTAACGATACTTGAAATATTAGATATAATGGGTTTAGTTCTTGGGAGCTTTGTGATAGACAAGCCATTTATGGTTTGGCAAGAAAGAAGTGATTTGTTTTTCGGTGCTACTTCGCATGTGTCTTTCAAATCATTGTTGACATTATTATTAATATATTGCAAGTTTTACAGTTTGGGGCAAGCAATAATAAACAGTGTATCTTGTTAATTTCATTGTGGAAGTCACCTTGTGAAATAAAATTTTCAAATTGTTATGTTTGTATTTAAACATTATTTGATAAGCATTGTGTGCCATTCTCTCTGTGTATCAATCAGCAAAATTGTTCTTAAACCATCTCTTAGATCATCTTTCTACCATTTCCAACTTATCCTTGGATATATATATATATTATAGTTATGATTTTACCTGACATAAAAGCACTGCTAAAAGACGATTATTCTATTTCTGATGAAAAGATACTTTGGATACAAATTATCTGACAAAAATATTGGCAATTTTGAATAGGTGTTGTCTATATTTTTAGTGTCATTAGTTTTATATTTGCAGTATTTCTTCTATTTTTGCTCGTAGTTGCAAATCATTAAGTTCATTTAAAATATTGTGAATAAAAACGCTAACTACAATCTGGTAATATGCAGTTTTGTACGAGCTCTCTCTTCAGTGATGATGACTAAATTGAAAGACTGAAGTGCAGTAGCTGTTTGGTCGTTTTGAGTGCAACTTTTCATCATGTCATATAGTGTTTTTGCCACAATGTTTAGTCTCCAGTACGATATTTCAAATCCAATCCGTTAATTTATAAGTCAGATTACATACTATCGGTCGCCCCCTTATGAGCTTCCAAACACAAAAAAAGTAACATCGATTCCACCGAAGTATTATATTTTTGCAAGTAATACGAACTGTAATTAATAAATGAAATTCCAGTTAGAAATATGAGTCAGATTGCAATGATTTGGAAAGTTAGCTTGACAAAAATTCCGTTAGTATTGAAAGAATAATTTGTTAAATTCTGGCTCCCGAAACTTCTGAGATGTTGCTTCTTGAATTAAAGGTCAGACTTTTCATAAATCCATCTTCTTAACTTGGTTCCAATTCTGGTGTAAACACCGGGCTTTCCCTTTATTCCACAAGTGTGTCCCCATGAAACAATGCCACCAAGATACCAAGAGTCGCCACTGAAAAGTAAAATATGTGTTATAAATTCTGATTTAGCTCGTTTTAGAGAATCTATGAAAAGTAGAGATAATCTATAGTTATTATAGGATTACACACTTAATCTGTGGAGGAAAGCACATGAAAGCTTAATAATGTAGCCCAACTTTTTATGGGATTACTTTTTCAATTTAATTTGTTTCAATGTGTGGGCCTGGTTGGTGTAAAATGTAGATTGTTTATGATATGTGCCTACCGTATGTGAACCTCCCTGTTTTAGCAAGATGCCCAGCAGTTTTCCTGCACTTGCTTATTTATTATGGCATTTAAAAGCACATTTTAAATTGGAGTGAGTAGGCAAAATTGTACTTTGTGCTTGTGTGTCTCAAAAGCATAAGATAATGAATGAAGAGTGGAACTTAACAGATAGCAAAATATGTCATCGAAAAAAGCATTCAGATAGACTTCCAATACATTCTCTGAACTCGGTAATTTAGAAAGCTGTGTAAAAATATCTATTTGCACCTCCAAAGTGTAAACGGTCCTCCTGAATCACCCTCACATGCGTCCTTATCTGCGTCACCTCCAGCACAAAACATTGTAGAACTTATTTTGTATGTTTCCCTGCACTTGGATTGTTTTACTACTGGCAATTTGACCTGAATTAATATATTTAAATAAAATAGTATAAATAAATATAGTATCAATAAAAAGTGGCCAGAGCTTTTCAATGAAATCAAAATTTATTATTACGAAAGCTAAAAATATCGTTTAAACCGAGGGAATATTATTTTATATAGAGTAGCAGATGAATCTAACCATAACCTTTTTCATCATTGTATCAAAAATATTATGTACCGTAAGTTGAAATAAATACATCTAGTAGAAGGATACGTTAAAGACGCAAGTGACTGGACAGAGCATTCGAAATCTTGCACATTTCATCGGATATAACAGGGTGGTCCAAACCCAGATCCGCATCGCTTCAGCTGTTATTTCGTCATAAAATTAACCAGAAAAATCTTTTGACATATTGTTACGCCACTGATGTCCCTGAATTGATTGGTGTTATGGTTGGTGCTCTGGTTATCTGAGCCAACTAGCGAGGTTGAATGATGTGCTTGGCAGTTCAAATTGTTATCTGGCTTTCTATCTTTTTGGTCGGGAATATGTGTAACAATTTTAGCATCAATAGAAAACTAAAAATCTATGCCAGATAGCTAAATATTAATGTTATAGCCTAACAATACAATTCATGCCGGGTGTTTTTTGCAATCAGCCAGAACAGCATTAAAAAAAATACTGCCTATATATCAGAAAATTTGATAATTACCCTCCTGTACATCAAATTTGGTAATCAATCAATCTGCAGGTATTTTGTAAACGTGAGTTTGAAATCTGACGAATTCAAACAAATTTTCAACTGGATGTGGGAGGAAAATATCACAATGCTTGCTTGATATGTCAGCATAATTTAAAACGGCGTTTTAGAATCTTGTGAGCAATGAGCATTTTTCAACTTCAGGATTTTCGGCATTCGAAAGTCCTTACATTTGCGGAAGCACATTTTCCGTTATTGAGAGTTTGAAATCTTACACTAAATGTAGATATAGACCCACTTTTGCGAGTGTCAGCTAGTTTTTTGGTGGTTTTCGCATGTTTTATGATGTGGCCCACGAACAATGCAAAAATCATTTTGTGGCCCCTGGAGCAGACCACCCTGAGATATAACATTCAATGTTTGTTTCACAAATTTCAAGCCTATTATGGTTTTAAAAATACTGAATTCAAATATGCTGCTACTGCAAAAATATTTGATAGCCAACCCATGCTTAAAAATATATAAAGATTGTTACCATAAATGAATGCTGAAGTTGATGATCAAAAATATTACACTTTTTAAAACCAACTTTCGATTTCATATTTAAAAATATTACATGATTCGAGTCCAATACTGTATTACGAATTGTAAGAATGAATGTGGAATACGATATAAATGTTTAACATTATTACGATTTATGCCAAATATTTCATAGTGGATTGTGGCAATCGTCCCATATTCATATTATACTCTTTAATATTGATACATTTTTCTACTTTTTTATGCTATTATCAATTACTGTTAGGTTTTTTTCACGGGTGTTGCTGCTCGATAACCAGTCTTGGTTTCTCGTGACTCCTTTCGCCTCTTTTTACATACTGTATTAATTAGTGTATGGTACTTCATGTATGGTGGATAAAATAAACTACTGATTACAAGAAATTTAACAAGCGTGACACTAAATAAGAGACATATCTTTAAAAGTTTTCATTTTATGACTCTCAGAATCAAATCTCAATGGATTATGTTCAAAGGTAAACATACCGCCAGACAAACTCCATTGAATAATATAATATCATCATAGCTTCATTTTATAAAGAAAAAAGACTCACTTCACGCAGAAACTTTGAATTTGTACCATCACTCTTTATTCCCCAACCAAACACAAGACCGTAGTTGGGTGGCCTGGCTGCTTTTGACTTGTCAGTATCGGTAGGTTTCGCAATGCATATGGGCTGAAATTCAATATTATTTGGAGTAGACTAAATAGAGTTTAAGTTACCGCCTATTAAAAATGAATCTACTACTACTATCGTTATGTGATAGACAGACAACCACGAACAGCAAAACTCGATTGTTATTGTTTGTTGGTAAGGATGGCAAAGATCATATGATTTGACATTTAGAACGGATTTTATTCTGAAATTTTAAACATATTCAAGCTTGGCCTGGCAGTTGACAAATCTTGCTGAACGTTGATTGCTATCGCACCTCTAATAGCCGTTCCCTAGGTTCAATTCTCACAGGTTCAATTATGTGCAAAGAGAATGCTGGACTCCTTGCACTTGTAGCTCATGTTACTACTGGTCATTTACAACTTCCATCCTCGTGTTTGGAAACTGTTTGAATAATCCTGGCATGGACTAATAGCTGAAATAATGTGGTTTCTCAATTTGATTAAGCTGTTTCATTAATTTTCTCCCCAGGTGTAAATAAAAGTCTTATGGATAAGATATTCAAATAGACTAGACTTTCCCTTAAATTAGCTACATTCAACTAATTAAGATAATTGGTTATATAATTATAATTGAACTAAAACAACATTATTAACAATCACTAATCAATTAAACAAAATTCCATTATCTAAAAAGGGTAGTTGATTTTATGTAAAGCATTATTTTTCATATAAATAGTAAGTTGTAATAGTCCAAACCTAATAAAAAAAGACATTTTTGCACTATACGAACCTTGACAGCCTGAGAGAAATAAATAGGATCTTTCAATACAATAATAGCAATATCGACGTCTAATGTGACTGGATCAAATTCATCATGTTTGATGAGTTTCTTTATGTCAGAGGATTGTTCATAAGGTTCTTTGTATTGAAGGTCTGTGTCTCGTCTGCCAACATATACTGTTACTTCATCCTCAGCGATCACTGATAATTAAAAACAAAATCAGGATTGAGACCCGTCAAATTCACTGATACAGAGAACCTAAAGGCTCAATTCATTTCTTCATAGTGCTTAAAATTCCGTTAGATATATGCATTATTGGGTTATATCCATTCATATAACCGAATGGATTTAACTTGAAACATTTAATGAAATTGCATATTTTCATGAGTGACTATCTTCAGGAATCCACAGAAAGTTTATAACCACTAACTTTAATGCATATGGTAAAATCGAAACCAGTATTTCCCTGTTGGAAAAAAAAATGTTCTATGCTAAATAAAATTTTCCTGCTTTCGAATGAGGGACATTAATTTTCATGGGGTGTTACAAAAATTCAAGATTTTCCACTTTGTGGAAACACAAGATGGCTCCATTAACTGAAGGACGTTGAGAGAGCTTGAATGGGCTGCTGAAACCATCGTAGTCTGAATCTAGTGATATCATAATAAGTTGGCTGCAAGTATTTCATAATCGCACACTTTTTGTGTGAGAGAATATTCTACAGCAAAAGATAACATAATCTGACTAAACGACGATAGTTAGAAAATATAAGAATCAACATACATTTAAAACAATGAGCTGCTGTAACAATATGCTTTGTATCGATTATACTTCCTCCACAAAACACTCCTTGTTTAGTTTTTATTCCAATTGATTTCTGAAAACAAACCATAGCATATTATTACATACAGCAAAAATGGAATAAGATCATCTTATGATGATGGATTAGACGCTGGAAGGCATTTTTCATAAACACAATTCCGAAATAACAAATCTGGGCGCTCCCAGTTTGTGCACCAAGATGGCGCATACCATAATAAGGTTATACTGTACTCTCGTAGTGAGTGTACCAGGTTAGGGTTAGACCATCCTTATTTTAGTTTTATTACGATTTCGGGACTGTCTATGTTAGCCAAGTGAATATCTTCCTGCTCATAGGTTTCAGTCACTTTACAAAACTTGATGTAAAGTAGGCGAACAAAATTATTTACCTCTATATTGGTACACACACTTCTGGAGAGCACAAAATTTTACCTTATACAGCATTGCCATGAATGGAGCCATCAAAGCTTTAGTGAGTTTCCCTCCTAATACTTTTTCAACTATTGTTCGACTTGGTATATCAATTCCTGGAGCTTTTCCACATACTGCAATGCAATATTACAATTTCGTTAATAGATATTACAATCTTATTCAGAAGTTTATAAGTTATGTCAACCCAAATTTCTGAAGGAGAGATATGAAATCTAGTGCCAAAGAAGGTAGAACAAAATGACATAATATTGTGCAACCAATAAATAAATATTATATTATCAAGATAGTTTACCGTAAATGATAAATCTGAATTACTAATCTTCTATTACAAAAAACTGTACGAGGTATTTGGTATTAACGAGGTTGGTATTTTTGAATATTCTTTCCGATTCGTTATTACCTACCCATTTTTTTAAACCCCAGGCAAGGCGGTGGGTGTGAGACTTATACCTAAGAAGTGTAACCCGCAAAACACGCCATGCATGATTTGATAAAATTTGAGAACAAATTGACATCTATCCATCCATATTAAATCTATGTGAAATATCTAGCTCAGCCCGTTCAAAAAAGAAAAAAATAGATGTCTTTTCAGGATAGTACTTACTTGCACTTGGAATAGCTGGTATTTTAACAACAAATTCAGCAGTTTTTTCTGTATTACCATAACCAACTTGACATGTATAAACACCAGAATATGAAAAGTGTGGACTGTATATCACCAACAGTCTTCCCTCTTCTTTTATTGACACCCATCCTGAGGCCTGTTGAACAATGAATATCAATCGATATAACTAATAAATCAGAATTCTGAGATCAAAAGAAGACTATATTTTTAATTTGGAATTAAACCACATGTAAGAATGTAACATGGCTAAGCGCTGCGGCGCACCGTGCTTAGCGGTAGGAATACGCTCGCCATCGCACCTTTAATTACCTTACGAATTCTGTGTTAGATAATTATGTGTGAGAGGATTGCTGGACTTTTCGCTGCTGTAGGGTGGTTCACGTAACTGCTTGTCAGTTACATTTTTTCCACCATCAAGTCCAAGCATCTGGAACAAATACCTGGCTAACTAATCTCATACCCAACATGGACTGGTAAACTGGTGCAAGGCGTTGTTTGCCATATTATGAAGTCGTCTCATTGACTTCCTTCTCCTCCAAGATAAATATTCGAATACCAATCTTAACATTCTACCAGTATGTTACATCACAATGTGGTTAGGCACCAAATTCACAAATGCATAAATGTAAACAGGATTTTTATATTTATCCTGGGGAAGGGAAAGACAGCTCAATCATATGACCTCTAGTCTATGTTGGGTTCATAGAAACATTCTACCAGTAATTTGGATTTGATGGTGAAGGGAGCCGTAAATAGCCAGTGATTAATTCTGCCACCCTACGAAAACGAGAAATCCAGCAATTCTCTTGCACATAATAATTCTCCACAGAATTCAAACTTGCAAATCTGGACAAGGTAATCAGAGATACAATGTGGTGTTCCTAGTGTTGGCAATATGTGCCAACCCTTCATAATCAAATAATGTGGTTACACTTTGTATAAGTACGGTAAATATTGGATTTTTGATCTCTCGTATACCACAACCTCTAGTTACCATTGCAGATTCAGTATTCAAATAGATAACCAGTTCATTGTTTAGAGAACGTAGATAAAGGCATAGAACAATGTGTCTTCTACTACTAATTCGTATCTATAAAAAAATGCGACTACGAGTGTCATACATGTGCTTTAAGATATGCAAAATGTGCTTTGAGATATGCATATACAGTTATAGAAAATTGCAGTTTTGAAATTCAGTTCATTCAAGATTCAAAGTATTTAGAAGTATTATTTACAAACTCACAAAATCTATTTCAACTCTGTTAAGCCGCCAGATAATTTTTCTGTTCAAGTTCATCGGTGAAACACAATGCAATCGGATTGCTTTCTTCGGATCGTATGGTTCCACTGGTTTTATTCTGACATCTATCTCTTCACACGTTTTCCCTCTATAAATATAAAATTTTAAAACCTGCATGAATAGCCAAATTTATTTAGATGATCCAAAAAAACTATTCTCCCTCCTTTTATTTAAATTGTTTTTCTATATGAATGTAAAATTCAGAACAAATAATTATTTATACTTTAGTGGAGAGAGAAACGAAGAGTTCTGAAATCGGCGAAGGAAGTCATTAACAAAAAAGATCGAGAACCATTAAATTAAGGTAAAAATTGATAATGAAATTTTGACTATCTGTTCTGAAAAATTATTTTTTTTACACATCATATTTATGATCTAATTTAGTGTCTTTTAGCACTGAATGCTTCTACTTCACTTTTGTGCATATGATTTAACAAGAACAGGCGGCATCTACACAAAATGGCATAATACTGACACTTACTTGAATCCAACAGGACATGCACATATAAAATCTGAACCAGGCGTTTTGCAGTCGCCACCATTTTTGCATGGATTTGGTTTACAGGGATCCACAACTAAAACTAAAATTGTTTAATTTGAAATTTATAACTACATTTTCAAAATCTTCTATTTATCCAGTTTCACCTTAAATAATACTCCGTACTACGGCTCGACAGTGTGGCCCATCATGCTAAGCGTTGGGAATATGCTCGCCACCGCACCTCTGATTACCCTGCATGGGTTTGCAGGTTCGAATTCCATAGTTATGTGCGGGAGGATTGCTCTACTCCTTGCCGTTGCAGGGTGGTTCACGTAATCGCTGGTTGGTTACGGCTTCCTACACCATCAAGTCCATGCTTCCGAAAACAAATAACTAACTAATCCCATACACGACATGGATGGTAACCGAACAAGAGACCGTGGTTCGCTTAATGATTAAGCTGTCCCATTGGCTTTCCTCTCTCCCGGGATAAATATATAAATCCTATCCTATCCTGTCCGAGAAATCGTTTACCAAGTTATGTACATTAGTTGGCTCCAGAAGTATGTTTACCAATATGAAGGTAACTAATTTTGTTCGCCTATTTTACATCAGGTTGCGTAAAAGGACTAAATCCTTGAAAGGATATTGACTTGTCTAACACAGGCAGTCCTCGAACTTATATTAGAACCAAAATAAGGAAAATCGGAATAAAATTATGACCTAACCCTAACCACGAACACATACTACGGGACCCATCAGTTACCTATTTTTAAGAAGCACACCAATACCTTTGCAAGATTTCCGATCTTCCTGCAATTCAGAACCTTTGGCACATTTACATTCGAATGATCCTGGTTGATTTTTACATTCCTAAAAACACAAAATACAGCACTTTTAAAAAACTGATTTTATAATGTACCCAAAGTATAATCACCAAAACTTACATCTTGACAACCGCCTTTATTTACTTTACATTCATCTTTATCAACACATTGAGTTGGATCTTGCTTTGAATTCTCAAATCCTCTACCACACACAACAGGCCTGACAATTCCCGGTGCATTTGAACCGCCTGGTAATTTTGGTGAAGATTCTCATATATTATTAAAAAAAGTATGGCTTTTATTTAAGAAACAAAAAATATTAGTTTTCCTAATAGAAATTTCTAGTGCTGCTTTTATCCATTACAGTTTTATATAGTATAGAGACGACAAACACTTTTAAAACCACAAAAATCAACATCGAGTAAGATGGACTTATGATTTGTAACCTTGGATGAAATTTCTGGAAATTTGAGATGTCATATATTTAGTTGTGTTTATGAAAACAGAAACAGTTTTCGAATCATTTGTAGCGTTATGAATTTAAGTGTATTGTTTTTAGTATGATGTGCAGAGTATTTCGAGGCCTATATTTAGAATCTTTATGGTGTGGCGTTGATAGGGCAGAGCATAATTATGATTTCACAACAGCTTGAAAATTTCCAGCTTGAGCGGAGATCTAATGGTTGTCATAATTCGTGTAAAACTATGCCAAATTGGAAAGTTTTCATTTCCCAAAACTAACTATGTCTCATGCTATTACCTGCTGCTTGTCAAGAGCCTTGTTAAGAGCAAAAGTGCTAGCTACCCCATATCAACTGCAATTTTGCTGTTTGAATATAGCGTTCAACATGTGCATCAAAATCAACTAGCCTAAAAAAGAAATTACAAACTCACTGCACTCTGGAGCATTTGAAACACCTTTCATCTTTTCAGGACAAACACATGAATACTGTATTCGACTCTTGTATGGTGAGGGTAAACAGAGATGTCGGCAATTATTCGATGCACAAAGATTTCTATATTTCTCTGTAAGTAAATAAAGATAAAGATATTAAATTCATAAGATTTGTTAGAATGCTCAATAATATCATGAACCACAGCCAGTTACCAATTAATGTCAGGCATGAAAATAGTTAACCAGTTATTTGTTTAAGATGCATAGACATAACGACGGAGGAAGCTGTAACCAGTCGGTCCAGCAATAATCTCCCAATAATTATCCCTCTTGAGATTCAAGCCTGCAGACTCACGAGGATAATCAGATGTGCAAATATACTGTGTTCCAAGTGCTTCTACATGAAGCAGAGAAGCATAATTTCATCAAAAATCAATTCGAAAAAATAGAAGATTCAAAAAATATATAAAGTAAGTATCAGCACAACCAACCAGGCATTGGATTCTTTGGGTCATAAAGAACCATTCCCATCGGTCTTCTCAATGTTCTCGATAAAATATGCATGTCTTTTCCTGTTGTTTTGTCTGCGCTCATTAATCTTCTTGTGCCCCAGTCATTCCAATACACTGTCAGAAACAAAGTGGAGTTAAAATAACATTATGATGCTAGTATCTAAAACTCGAACTCACATTTAGATGACTGTACAGAAATAGTAATTCTATTATAAAATTCATAATGCTCTAGTACAGGGGTAGTACTTTTTTTGTCAGATGGCCATGGAACCAACTTCAGATATCTAGCTGGTCCACACAAAAAAATTTGTTTCCCCATGTACACAATGAATTAAAATATTATCACATAGTATATCACACAAACACTATGTATGTTTACCTATGTGCCTATGTAAACCTAAACTGTCAGATTAAGATTTTATGCTTGATGGAGAGTGTTGACAAGGGCCACACTAAATGTCTTGGTGGCTCGCAGGCCGCTTATTGTACAACCCTGATTCAGTGTTCTATTGGACTCTATTAGAAATCCAATTATGTATAGCATAGGATAGTTTTCATGATAACCATGTCCATTCCACCATCAATGGCTCCTTATCTATAATTATCAGTTTAGATTAGATAGGGGTACTGCTATAGTTCAATTTTTCCCAATGCATTATTAAAGTGATCAGTAAAGCTATTTTTACAGGAACTGCATTCTGCATTACAGGAAATCCTCATACAGCTGGTCATTTGTGTTCTTAACAGTAAATGGGATGATTTAAAATACTGAGCATCGTTTTAGCTTGTGTGCAACATAAAAAATATGTTCATATCTTATTAACTGTTCATATTATTTTCAAATTAGTATATTAGCTACATTAGGATAGGATAGGATTTACATATTTATCCTGAGGGAGATAAAAGAAGATAAAATGGTTTAATCATATGGAGAACCACGGCCTCTCTTCCGGTTACCAGTTCATGTCGGATATATGATTAGTTATTCGTTTTCAGACACATGGACAGGTTGGAGGAAGCCATAACCAACCAGTGGTTGGAGAACTACCCTATGACAACGAGGCGTCCAGCAATCCTGTTCTACATAATTATCCCCCACGAGATTCGAACCTGTGAACCATCGCGAGGTAATCAGCGTATTCCTAACACAGCCGAGCCAACTGTGACAGTATAACAAATTACACTCAAATCCCATGCCCATGACCTCAACCAGGGTGTGATAAATTGGGATTTGCAATGCCGAAGCAGACAGATTCTGTTCCTTCAATAAATCACAGCCCCTCACAATTCAGTAGCTACTTGGAATGCACTTAGTTCAGAGTGAAAGATGTAAAATGTCTTAAAAAAAATGATTACAACCTCTATCTTTGTAAATTCCAACTGCATAAGGTTGAGGAATGGTTGCTCTTCCAGATATAATAACTTTTCTGCCATTTCCATCCAAATCAGATGATTCGATTTTATCAAGTATTGAATCACTGAAATATAATCTCTTTTCTTCATAATCTGTAGTAGAAATTGACAGTAGTTATAAATTCATAGTCATAAAAAAATAATCAAAAATGGTAATTCAGAGATAAGGGTTTCAGAGACACGATCAAGTCTAACAGTAATTGATAATAGAATTAAAAAGTCAAACAATGATTATTAAAAGAAGTATAAGTCAAAGTAAGTCGAGGCAACCTAGATATCCAAAAGATGGCAAGTAAAAAACGGGTCCAAGCACGGATGTGCGAGTGACGTTGGAAATGGCAAGAAGATCACAGTGCAACAACGGAATACAAAAATTATGGAATCAGTAGCTAATTGGATAAGATTTTCATATATTTTGTATGAAAAGTGCGCTAAGATGGCTTAATCATATTTGAGAACATTGTGTTCAAAATGAAAGTACATGGAGACAAGTGAGAAGCACAGACAAGGCTTTGATTTTACTGCACTTGGCCCCAAGCATCATTTTATTGACAAGATAAAGAAATATTGTAAATGTTTCAATTTTTGTGAAATGACGAAGTAGAGCCATCAATACTAATCAACATTTTTCCAATTGTTTGCATTATGCAATAAAACTATCTCAGCTGTATACAAACTATCCATTCTTTAAACCCATTATTATGATTACAATGTGATAAATGTAACAACTACAAATACAGTGAAAACAAATTGAAATTAAATAAATAATTATGTACAAAACTAGAGAACTGGAATTAGTGATTTTATATAAAATGGTATCCAATCATGATAAAAATTCTTGTATTGTCAATATCATACATTATAAAAAGAAAATTTTGTGCATGTCACAAACATCTTAGAATAATAGTGAAAAATCCTTTTTACCCAGAGAGATAATAGCTGATAGTGTCTGTAATCTGTTATAATATGACGAAACATTACCTTACAGTGGCACATGTGTTTAATGTCCTTTGGCAGTTCTTGTGAAACTCATTAGTCATCTTGTAACCGTTCTAATGTGCTCTGTTTTTTTATGGTATCTGCTATCTGGTAAGTTGGTGATATCAAGTCAAGTGTTGAGAACTAGTAATGCTAGATAGAAAACGAAACATAATCCCTACATAATCAACTTACCAATGGTTATCCAGTTTACTTGTAAAACTGCATCCTTTATAATGTTCTGACAGTTTGATTGTTTGCCCATTTCACATTTTTGTATCTTTGCAGGTGGAGACGAATTCACAATATACATGTAACTAAAATAATAAATAAAAATTGATAGCTGATGCGAGTATGTTACAACATAAGCAATTCAGACAAGACTGGAAAGATATCTAGATTATTATCAATAGCCAGATGCTTTTACTATTTTATTGAGATTTGTTGTAATGTTTCAGAGACATGACAAAATAGATATTTGCCAGATAGATGTTGAATGTGATTAAACAAAATGAAAGAAGCAGAGTTGAAAATACATTGCCATAGCTTATATGATTGTACTGAAAAAAAAATTAGTTTCAAATACCAAAATCATTCATTTTCAATTAAAAGTCAGAAATTTTTATATTTAATATTAATGACTAACCCTCTTTCTGGATCCAAGGCAATAGCTTTAGGTTTATAACTTGGATCGCCTTTCACAACCTGAGAAACATGCCGGGGTCCATTCACTGGATCCAGATTAGAAACATAAACTGAGTTTGTTGATGAATCAGTCCAATAGATGAGTCGTGTTATTGGATCAATTGCTATTCCTTCTACTTTTCCTAAATATCTATCACTGTTGTCTAGGAAAGTTCGTCGTTGTGAGGTGGCCAAGTTATCTGATAATTTTGCACTGAACAAAAATAATGAATGAAACATTTGTTAGTTGAAATTCTTGAAACGTATCGAGAGGAATAAAGTTATCTTTATATTCAATGCTAATGTGGTTGTACTGAAGACAGATTCTGCTATAATTCCAAAACAAAGTGTTTCATGGTTAAATTCTAAAATCCAATTAGTCTTCTAAAATAAAACTAAATGTACAATAAGATTTATAAAAATATTGTCACACCCAATATGCACATAGCCATAGCTATGCTGATAAAAACAAATCAAAGCAATAAGCATATGAAGTTTAGAAGCAAAAAATATACTCACGCCTCAATTTTTTTTGAGGTAGTATCCGACCAATATATTGTTTCCTTTGCTGCGTCAATCGCAACTGTTGCTGCCCATCCTAGTCTACTCAGCACTGTCTTTGTATCAGTTTCTCTGAACATATTAGAAGATATAAAAGATGTTAAGCGTTGTTTGACAGCTGCGCTCGGAAGTAGGGTTTTTTTGAAGGCTTTTTATTTTGTGCCACCATTTTGAACACAACTGTTTGGCAATTTAGCAGTCCAAGTTTATTTGATAAATTCATACAATTTCAGATATTATTTAAATCAATTTTTATCTTAAAAACTTTAAAATGCTATGTTTTGTTGTATTATAGGCATCGAAAATTAAAAGGAAAAATGTTGGTGAAACAATGATTTAACAATTTTATAATTCACCTTGATTCCAATTTTAATTTCAATCGTATGATTGTACTCATATCAGCAACATATATATCGACAGCAGCTTGAGGTTTAGGTTTTACCGCAACTTGGCCACATTTTCCATCTTTGCATTGGCATTTTGCTCCATCTTGGCTTGGAACACATAAGTATTCACATCTAGAACCATCACATTGATTTGGATCTGGAAAAAATAAATACAAACAAAAGTAGGCACAGAATTTTATTAGGGCACGAAGGAAGAAGCTCAGATACTGATAAAAATACAAAACTCAGTCATTGTTACATAATGATGTAAAGACTAACTTCAATGTATATTTTTATTTGAAATATATTAATTGTATTAAAATTGGCATAAAATCAATATTATAAGGCATAAGCTTCCTCTTGAAATCACTACCAGCTGTGAAAGCCATTTAAAATAAAGGTTACGAGTGGAGAAAGTTACAAATAAAGTCATCAATGTGTTTGAGATGGCAATATTTGCCTTTTGTATTTTGTCGTTCTTCTTTTAGTTGAAGTAGACAAGTGACTGCTGACTGCCATATTCAATAAACATATTTACCTATACAATTTTACACGTTGTTGTTAAAAAAAATTTAAACAGATAAAATTTAAAATGAGACTAGGTAAGTCTGGGCCTGGTTATCTATTTTCAACTGCCAGTCGAATGGGAGGTCATGGTATTACCATATGTAAAATATGATAGGCTGTCCTTGTTCAGTTACCAATCCATGTCGGGTGTGGACAATAATTAACAAGTTCTTTGTTTTGATATTATGGACTTGTTGATGGAAGAAGCTGTGACCGACCACTATGTCGGCGAGGTGTCTACCAATCAGAGGCGTAGTGCTTACCACTTCATGGCAGCTCCTGCCACGAACGTACCACGGCGTCTCTTGCCATGGTTTTATCGTGCTATTACCGGTATATTTACAAAGTCATGTACAATATTTTAGTTTATCATACGAAATTATATCTACTTAAACCTAAACCCAACCCCAAATACATCAAAATTGTATTCATAAGAAAAGCGTTCCAGCTTACCCAATATTTATCACCATCAAGGGCAGCCCTGCTATTACAGCCCACATGCCATGGTTACGGCAGCAAAATTGGTGGTATTCGATTTGCCGCCCTAACCACGGCAGCTCGCTGTTGGTTTGTGGCAGCTAAAAAGTCAGTCGCCGTGGGTTTGGTCATAGCGGCCATGGTTTGGAAATACCGCCATGGTTTTGTGGCAGCTCTAGACGCCACAAAATACTTGAAACTGCACTTGACCAATCATATCACACAAAACTATCCCCAATGGAATTTGAACCTCTGAATCTGAGGTGAGATGGTAACATAGACTTAATGATTAGAATGATGTGGTAACTGTCAAACAAAATTTTCTCATTACAATTCATCACTTACACAATAACTGAGCATCTCTGTCATATATCGAAATGCCACTCGGATTCTCTAGTTCACCAACATGAAAATGCAAATCATTCCAATTCAGAAAATTGATGCTAAGAATGCCTGTGTTGATCCAATCTGTCCAGTACACTGTGTAAAAGAAAATATTTATGAAATTCATTTTATGCATGACGCTTCTGCACTCGAGTCTGCTAAAGCAACTTCGGATATTTAGGTGTTAAAATTTTTGAAATCACTAATATATTTCTGGTTTGTCATTGCCTACCCAATTTGTTACACCCTGGGTGAGGTGAAGTGGTGGTAATGGGTTTGAACCCGAGATCTGTAACTTAAGATGCCAATATGTCCAAGTCTCTAGTTCAGTGTTACTCAACTTTTTGCCCCGAACACCCATGCTTCGTGGAACACCAGAAATTAGAAGGTTAATTAAGGTATATAAAGATTTTTGTCGCCAGTTTGGAGACAAATTTACAATCCAGAGGCGCCGAAGTGCGGCCAAGATCATCATGGCAACCAATTTAATCGCACTTTTGATCTCTGTCACACTGAACACTACGAAGAAGTTCTGAAAAATCAGTGTTCCGCAGAACACAGTTTGAGAAACTCTGCTTTAACCAGTGGTGTGAAAGCGTAAAATTTCTCAGAAGTGAAACTGTGCATGTGCATTTTATGAGTTTTGAAATTATATGGTGTAATATGGATGCACTTGATCAGTATTAATTTGGTTCTTGATTTAACAAATGAATTTATTACCTCTATTTTTGTACAGAGTGATTGCAAATGGATCTTTCAATCTCCCCTCAGACAATTTCATATTTCTTCTTCTCTTACCATCTGTGTTTGAACAGGATAACATAGGAATTTTTCTATCTGTCCAACACATTTGATTTCTCTGAATATCTGTTTAAAAAAATGAATTCATGATATATAACATAATGAAAATGACCCCATGATAGTCTTTGATCTGTGGATTTGACATTTTGAGTAGAATCCCTCACACATACCGTATTTATTCAATTATAACGCGCACTCGTGTATAACGCGCACCTTTAAATTTTGAATGAAAATTGGTATAAAATTCTTTTTTTTATTTTTTCTCTACTAACTACTGGTAAGCACATAAGGTAACAACTCACAGCATGAACAAAAATTTATTAAAAGCACACAGTAATTCAAAACTCTTCAAAATCGGATTCAGTCTCTGATTCACCAAACAACTGTTTGATTTCTGTTTGGGTTATGTTTAAATCAGTGTCCCAATCGACGGGAACATCACTTTCAACCTCTTGCAGAACGTTTTTGTCTTGCCATAATAGATAATGGGTAATATATAATGGGTATCTACAGTACAGTACGATAATGGCAAATAAATATTTTCAACGCAGCGGGAATGTCAAACGCATGCTGAGCTGTCGCATGTGCGTGTGCTTGCACGAAATAGAACGCTTGCACGAATGTCAAACGCACGCTGAGCTGTCGCATGTGCGTGTGCTTGCACGAAATCGTCCTGCATTGGAATGTGCATGCGCGAGTGCACGCACGTTTCAGATGTTTAAAACCACATTTTCAATACCGCATTTCTCAGACCTCGTGTATAACGCGCAGCATTGATTTTTGCCTAAAATTCAGTTCAAAATTTTGCGCGTTATAATCGAATAAATACGGTATATAAATAATGAATACAGACATCCAGTCAGGTGTAATAGAAGTCTTATCAATAAAAACATGCTATTTAGTAAATTGCACAATAATTTTTGTCCCAACAAACCTAGGCAAGGTAGAAAACATGAAGTAGCAAATTCTCCACAACATTCAAATTTAGTTCATTTCAGGTGATATTTAAAAAGTGGGATAAATATTCAAAAATATTAACGTTTGGATGTTATTTTATAAGACATTAATTAGCCTTGCACAAGATGGAATATAAATAACAACAATTACCCAAAGCAATTCCACTTGGCCACGCAACGTCATCATCAATGAGTGTTTCGCATTCATCTTTAACTGACATCGAACATCTTTCTATCTTTGGATTTTTACCAAAGTCAGTTATGTAGACAAGCCTGAAATTTGAGGGAAAAAAAAAAACTTTTTATGTGAAAATTATGTTCACGGTTCCATCTAGTTTTACAAAAATAAAGTTTCCTAAACTGTTAATTAATTGTTGAAAAAAGTGTGTAAAACAGCATAATGGAGCTCTCAAAATTTGATTTGTTAAATAGTACAAATGAAGTTTGCTACTTATTTGCCCAAGGCTAGACTAGACAACTAATGACACAATAAATTTTATTGAATAAACAATTTCTAGTTTTTCGCTTGACACCAGGTTTCTTGATAAGGTCGATTACATTCTTCAAAATTATTAGCAGCTATGATTGTCTATGCCTATATTAAAATTAAAGTAACCACAGTAACTAATTCTCTCAAAAGCAAAAGAAAAAAATATTAGTGTTCTCCTCATTTTCAATCATTGAAATCAATGCTGATTCAGCAATTTACAAATTCATTCATACAAGTTATTATTTAAAGCACACCTAGAAATTTTAGTTACAATCTTAGTTTCAATATAAGTTCAATATAAGACTAAAGGATTTTAGTTTACTATCAACATACCCATTTTTTGGATCAACTGCCAATCCTCTGGGATTGTAATGTTTATCTCCTTTCTTTATCAGTGCTACATTTGCACCAGTGACTTTAGCAACTCCAACTGAATTACTACCAGAATCAGTCCAAAATATGTTTCCATGAATCCAATCTACAGCAACATTTTCGGGTCTCACAACCTGTTTCAAATATGAATATTAAGTCCTGCTTCTGAGTACAGCACATCCAAGACATACTGGGTGTCCATTAAGTCCCTTTACAATTTCAATTTTGCAATGAAGTCAGTTCATTATATCCTAACCAGGTTTTTTGTTTTAAATCAGTAATTGTTAAAGTAATTTTACCTCATTTTAATACATCTGTGAGTGACAAATCAATATATGGTAAACTCCCTATCGATAAACTCCCTTTGTAATTTTAAAACTTTATGGACACCCTATATTTAAATTGCTTTGAAAAAAATTATTTCAATTTTAGATATTCTAAACAGATCTACAAAGAGATCGCAGTGGCATCTAATATGATTACTTTACAAACGAAGAATACTATTTTCCCAAAAAGCAATTTGTAAAAGCAAAAGTTATGGATTGGGGTTTTTAAGATTCTTCTGAATCTTCAATTAATCCTTCACATGACAATTATGAAAGAACAAATATCGACATAAACCATATCTAAACCATTATTTTGTAAATTTATTTGAATCAGGATGTGAAAACTATACTCCCATGTCAGGACTCAAATATATATTTTTTAAAAAAGATCAGTATTTTAACATCATCAACAGCCAAGATTCTTTGAATCCAAAATAATAACTCCAATTTAGCGATTATAATATTCATGGTATTTTTCTGACAGGCACTAAGTTCGTCAAATAATGAATATTAAATGAAACAGTGATTGGATTGACTTATTGAATCTAAAATGAACATTTTCATCACTTTCATTACCTTTGTGTGATCAATAATCTTCCTTTTATTTGTTACTTTTTTGCCATCAAAATCTCCTCTGAAATCGGAAAAAAAATAAAAAAATATGAAATTTATCTAATAACCCAAAATAGTCGTCTGGATAATTTTTGGACATTCGTATTTGATAAAAATTATTTCGAGCAAATTAAACTCACAGATTATATCAAAGGTAAAACTAAACAGTCAATACTTTTCCAAATCTCACAAGTTGTGAATCTCAAATTGTTAAAGTTTAACTTTGGGAGGAAGAGACCAAATAGGAAGATGACTGCTCGATCATCAAGGTGTATGTATAACCTAATATAATAGGTATTTTAACATTAATTTTTGAACTCAAATGCGAACTCGCAATGACCATAAATTGAATTCATGAATCAAAGTTCAAAATATTGTTTAAAATGGATAAGACTATAACAAATAAATATGGATTTCTATTTTGATATAATTACTAAAAACATCTTGGTAAAATATGTCATGTTATTTTCGTAATTTCAAAATTAACCAAATTCAACTTATTTATGAAACTATTTTGAGGTAAATACGATACTTTCAGAACGTTGACTAATAATATAAATCATATTAAGGTATATAAAGCACCAATCTCAGAACAATAGTCTCAAAAATTGAAGCTTGAGGCTATTTTAAGACAAAGTTATCAATGTTGTGCAGCCTTGCAGACACTTTTTATAGAAAGCCATACAAAGTCATACTATGCCTGTAGGCACAAATTTTTCAATAAAGTTCTTCAGTTGAACTTCAAACTTCTCCAAAAGTTTTGAAGAAAAATAGCGCCCAAACAAATTTTTGATTTAACCTCTTTGCAATTAAGTAAAGAAAAGTATGTTGAGTTAGGTAAAGTGTACAAAATAATAATTAAATTAACTTATTTTTTCCATTTCATGATTTTGACTTCATCTTACTGAAACCTAAAATTAGTTTAACTGTGGAATCAAAGTAGATACTTCAAGGCAAAATGAAGATTAAACTTTGGTTTTATATGATGATTATACGATGAATCATTGCAGATTAAGAAAGTTTACCTCCATATTGATCTTTGTGTCATATCAATCCAATATATTTTTTTGTTCCTGACATCGACAGCCACACCAGTTGCGTATGTTTGACCATCAATAAGTAACTGATATTTAGTGCTGGAAAAATATATAGGGAAGTTCAATTATGAAAGTTAAAAGAAGGTTTTTAGTTTTGCATACCAGTGCTGGGGATGCTTGAGTCACTAACTCAACTTGAGTTGGAGTCGAATGAACCTTTTATCAAAGACTGGAGATGACTCGAACTCATGTTCAACAGAACACCAGTGGGACTTGTCTCAATGATTGATTTGACTTGACTGACTTGATTTGAGACTCGGATGGCCCATGACCTGACATGGCATGTGACTCGGAGTGCAAAGACTTCTTTCTAACACTGCTGCATACTATATATTGATAAAACCAATCGAACTGTTCGAATGGAATCTGGATAAAGTATTATTTTATCTATGTCTTATACATCTTCTGTCAAAATCAATTCACCATTTTAATATAATATCGTTAAAAAATATAAGTGCATGTGCCATCCATTCTCAAACATGTAACATAGGACCCCAAACTGAGGATTTTGAGGAAAATTTTTATGGTAACTCCGATCTTGACTCCTTCAGAGGTCAAAAAGCACACAATGTATTGAATGCCAATTGTTATATTGTAAAGTTGCACAACCGAATTGATCCAAATAACGAATTACACTTGAAACCTTAAAGCAAGTATATGTGATGAAACCAAATTTCTAACTAACAAAGAACGGCAAAGACAAGCTACACTGAGCGAGAAAAATATATCATGAAGGAAATGAATTGGGACAACGACCTTGTTTCAGGCAAATAACATGCACTCCTAACAAAAAGTGGTGAAAATATTAAAATACACAGTAGCTATCCTTATGTACTTGCTACACTACTATTGTTTTGGAAAGTTTTCCTAGAGCACGGTAAAAAACATCTGTTTAAAATCATAATAGAAGTTTAAGCATGAAAGACCAGAGAGGACAACATCTATGTAACAAATTGCCAATATTCGTCCAGTTAAAACTAGACCCAAACAAAACCTAATAAATGACATTTTATCATTCATCCAATCACCAGCCAGAACACCAATTCGAATGTGGAGATAGATATTAGTCATGTTATTGAAGTCTTACCTATCAGAAGTAAGCATTGAAATGCTGCTCTTGTCATGAGAGAAAACCAACTTCGGAGAAGGTCCTACAACTAATGGTTCTGCAAGTATAACCACAATATATTTGTCAGTAATTTTTATTTCACTATGAGAGCCTTATAAAACTATTACAAAAATAAGTCATCATGATTTTGAGCCTCATGCATCAACTAGTTCAAAAACCATAAAACTGCACTTGGATAGCACGATTGTGAGAACACTAGCTAGCTTTTGTAAAATTAAACTCTACTGTCTGTATTGTTTTCATAAAACCGGACTATTATATATACAAATTACAAAGTTTTTCTCTCAAACCGAACAAAAATTTTCACTCTTATAAATTTCACTTATATTTATATAATTTATAATTTTCACTCTCACTTATAAATGACATCATCGAAAAATCCTCTTTCTTTGATGGTTTGGAACTGACTTTATTCTTGACAACTCTTGTAAGAAATGGAGCTTTCCAATCTTCTTTGACAAATTTTACTTCACCACCAGTTTCATCTGAAATTGTGTGAATGCAAATCATTAAAAAGCATTTATTTCACTAGTTGTTCAATTTGTGTTGATTTGCCTTTCACCGATAAAATTGCAAATTTTGGAATTACCGGTATATATTTTGTACTTATACGATTAATGATGTTTTTGAAAAAGTCAACAATTATACCTTCAGATTTTGGGTGCAAAGTTGCTAACTTTATATATCATTAGGAACACAACCATCACACTAGACTCGACAATGAGGCGCATCGTGCTAAGCATAAGGAATACCACCGCAGGTTCGAATCATGTAGGGGAAAATTATGTGCGAGAGAATTGCTGGACTCTGGGGTATTGTAGGGAGGTTCACTTAACCCGATCGGCTTTCCGCTTCCCCAGGATAAATATGCAAATCCTATCCTATATTGAAAGAAAAAAATAAGTTGGCCAATTGCTGCCCCATGCATTGTCATTTGACAAGTCAAGCCTTTTCAACTTATATTCCCTGCGAGTACGAGGATTTAAATCTCATTTTACTAACAGGGCTATCAATTAGAAAATGTGAAGCATGGGAAATATGAATGATGACAACTATCAAGTCATTTCGTTCATTATCAAATCAGCAGATATTAATCTACACAAACAATATATAATGTGCAATATGCCAAACCAAATTGTCTTTTTCCGCTACTTACTTGTTAGCAATCCTTCGTGAATAGCAGCAGCACAAATAAAGGAATCGGAAGAATATTCATTGTCCGTTCCATACATTTGTCTTTGCACATAAACACATCCTGGTGGACAATTCAGTGTCCAAGTAGTGTCTGGGAATGAGTCAGCTCTTAAATAACAACGTTGATCACCTGTTAAGACACATTCAATCAGTTTTATTTCGGCAAATTGTATTTAGCTCGATTATTTAGTTTAGAAACAATTACAACCATGGTTTCAGCAAAGTTTCATAAACGAATGGAGAGAATAATTTATGTTACTTACCCCAGCATGGAGAGCAGTAATTCAGATGGGCACTGCCATTTGGATAAATATAAGTAGGGCACCAAGTTCTTTCGCTTTCTACCCCATCACTTGTACATTCATCATAACTTTTGCCTCTGAATGTAAAGGGGAAGGTGCATCTCTCTCCATGAATGGTGCATTTTTTCACTAAAATAGAAAAGAAATAGATTAACAAACAAATTTATAACATTGCCATTTTGTGATTGACATAATTCATTAATATAAAAGCTCTCAATCCCCAGTCAAGGGTCATCTGGGTTTTGAGTCAAGTTCGAGTCTAGGCAAGGTCTATTCTTTATGTCTAAAGCCAATTCAATTAATACAAATTGATAGACATGGTAAATCATATTTTTTTTCTCATTTCAAAGACTCGCTCAAAAATATCTTCGAGTGCCAAATCTTTCTGGCGGTTACTCAAGTTCAAGTCATCTCGTTTTGATGGCTCGAGTCACTTCAAGTCTTTGAAAAAGGTAACTGAAGTCGAGTCAATGAATTGGGTCTTCACAACACTCATTCCCAGCAACTATAGATACTGTAGTCCGTATTCAATAAAATACTATCTTTATTTTAAATTTGAGATTTTCCATTGATTATGAATACATTTCAAAAGCATCTGAAAGTTTGAAACTAAATTGCAATCTTTTCCCAGGAGTTTTTTATTTACTTTCATAGTAATAATTAATGGATTTTCTCCACAGTTGTAATTAGATTCGGTCCCACATCACAGCTGATAATAAAAGAGAAAAGTATGTATATGCGATGACATATTTATAACATATTAATACCATCCAAAGATCCAATTTTTTCTTGAAAGCAATTTCCTTATCTCGTGAAACCATCAAGGCTCTCAGAATTTTTTAAAATATCATAAATCAGTGGTTGTCAAAGAAAGAAATAAAATATCCGCACGAACAGTGAAAATTTGGTCATCTTAACTTAACATGATTCTCTTTCGCAATCAGGGTCTACTTTATTGCAAAATTAGTTTTTTGTCAAAAGGAATTTCTCATAACAAATTGTTTGCCTTGACTTTGTGACCATATGGCCCTTCTGACATATCAATTCTGCTATTAGTTATTTGTTAAAGTTACAAGGATTTTTTGTGTTTACCTGTTCACGCCAAAATCACTATTATACCCAACTTGTTTATTTCTTAGATTTTGTTTCTAGTTACTGATGTAGAAGTGCCTGATTGTTGAAACTTATCACAGAAAACCATAGCGATTTTTAAATATCCCAATGTCCTATACTCATCAACATATATAACCAGGCGCTCTAGAAGTGTGTGTATCAATATGGAGGTAACTAATGAAGGGAGTGAAATCTATAGACAGGGGTATATTCACTTGGATAACATAGACAGTCCCTGAACTGGTAATAGAACTAAAATAAAGAAAATAGGAATAAAATTATGACCTGATCCTAACCTGGTACACATACTTCGGGAGAACCTATAATCCCTTGAAAACCCTGCTCTTCAAATGAAATACAAGGAATAATGCACATATGCAAGAAGATGTATTTCGATATATATTAATAACATAACAAGTGAAAATTAATAGGAACAACACATAGATCACACTGCTTAATATTATAATGTAACTAAATATACAATTATTAAGCACCACATTAAGCATGAATTGGCAATATCCAATTTTCTAACAAAACAAAAATCTGTCAACAAGCAGACGGCTTCAACCTGCAGGCTGTAAAGTAGTTCAACATAACTCCAATAAATATGGTGGATTTAGGCAGTCTTGTTACTAAGTTAAAAAGGAAGTCGATTGAACTATGAACCCTTCTTATGATAATTCCATAATCTATGTTGGACAGGTGTAAACATTCTGAGTCTTGATGTGAAAAACTGTTAAAATGTTAATTTAACTTGAAATGGTTCAATACTCACACCAATCAGAATTTACTGGCATGTAATACACAACCATAACGCTATGTAGTTTTAGTAGCTCGTAAGAATTTCAGTGGGTGCACATAAGTATGCTCAAAGAGTCTCCCATAATTTCTTAGTGATTGTGTTTAACCTGGATTTGAGCAATTTATCTTTATAAAATGACAGTTTCTCCATGAAATCAATTGTAATGAAATGTAATATTCTAATAGCGAATGACATACAAGATATATATTTGATAAAATTTACGCGAAAAATTTTTTTCAGAATCAAACTGAAGTTCCCTACAAAGAAACTAACAGTAAAACACAAATAATAAGTCAATAAAGAAGATAGTGTTGTTACTTAACTTAAAAAAAAGTAGGAGTCTCGATTACTAATGTGTAAATATAAAGTTTGGTATTCTGGAATTCTTCATTAAGATTTATTGCATGCTGATATCGCTAAATTTAGTCCATTTTCAGCAAATGACCATCCAAAATTACCAAATAATATAACTTCAGAAACACAAAATGAATCAAGTTTGATACTCATAGAATTCACCATAAAAAATCATTTGAATACTGAGATTTATTGCTTTAAATTCAGTCCAGTGATCATCACTATCAGATCGAACTTTTAAGGATAAAAATTAAAAAAAAGTTCCTATAATTATTCAATGCATAAAACAAAGCACTAATTTCAATTCCTCTTCACTTTATTTTTTTTTTTTGAAACTCAACAAAGAGACTCAACAAGTAATGTTCAAATAAGTTTGATGTTATGGGATTTTCCATTGAAACTTTTTTAGATAATGATAACTCTTAATTACGGCTAAGTTATCATTACAATAAATCGTGAGTTCAATGCACAAAGAGAAGCAGGTTTTAAATATAAAATTTTTCAAATCATTGTTTTGAAATCCATATCTAATTTTGTGTTAGACATATGACATTTTTATTGAATGAATAATAGTACCAGCTAATATTTTATTTTTTTTCAATAAGTTTTGCCAATATCAGCCAATAAAGAATCATACAAGACTTTTTACTAGATTTACAACAATTAGGAGAGTGTTTGATTTCAATGCAATAACTAGCAAGAAGCAGTCAACAAAATGGTAAAGTTAACCTAAGAAATTATAATACAATATAAATTGTAAACGAATAAATAAGAACAGATTAAATGACATTGACAAGGATTGGTGATGATTTAAATGTGATGATAAGTGTAAAGATAATAGATGTCGACTTGAAAAAAGACAAAAAATAAATAAAATAACAACAGCGACTTGATTAAACCTTGAATTAATCTTTTTCTCAAATGATTCAGCTATCGAGTACAATAATTCTGTTTCTATATTTATTTAACAAAAATTGAAAACTAATTAGAATCACTGTTTTCTATTAAAAATAAATTCAATTTCTCAACCAATTGTTCCCAAACTTCTCAGACCTATGGCAACTTTTGATATTCGGCCTAGAAGTTACAGACTACCCCCCAGTTAAATAATAATCAACCAACATATTTTAACAGTTTGAAGATACGTTTAATTTGAGTCTTGAGTACATTTTCGAATATATAAAATTGTTATCTTATCGCCTTGTGAGTTAACATGGCCGTCTTGCAGACCATTGAATAGAGAAACTGTCCATTCTTTATGAAGCATTGAAACAGAAATGGCATTAAAACAAAACAAAAAAACTGTTCAATCATGTTCATGATAGAAATTTAAAAGTTTTTATCTACTGCAACTTGCAAGCATTTCATCTTTTCTATCATGATTAATAATTGTAGAAATAATGGCAAAAACACAAATTCCCATGATTACTGTTCAACAGTCATAAACCTTATGATCAAGCCTCAGCTCTCGAGGTTGAAGGCTCGGTTTCCTCCTTAGGTGCCATCATAACAAGTTGCTTTTCGGCTTTAGCAACTTCATAAGCATAAGCAATAATCTCCTCCGTCAAATGCTTGTGACTATCGGCTTTACTTTTATGCTCCGGTGGTGTGTCTTTGCAACGATTTCTGAGCTTGTGAGCACTTTCACATATCAATGATAAGACTGATTTTATTGCTGGCAGGTGAGGTTTGTCGAATAGAGCAATAACTTCTGAAACTGCAGATAGAATATTCTCTGCACATTCTAAATAGGAATCAACTTTCTTCAATTGAGCTGTTTGGAGCAAGGTTTGTATCATTCGAGTAAGTAATTCTGTTTTTTTCATCAACGCTTGACGCTCCGGCCAAATAATTGGCTCCTCTGCATCCACTTGTGAATGCGGACTACTTGAATTACTCTGGGTAGTTTTTTCTTGCGCTTCTTCATGAGGCTCTGAGGCTTTAGCTGTGTCCTCAGAGACTAAATCAGGCTCAGGCTGTGCTAGAGGAGCTGTTGGTTGCGGAAGATTATTATTTGCATTTAAATTGGTTTGCTGAGGTTCTGCATCTTTGCCAGTAGTTTTCGATTCAGACGTTGCTGTAGTTTCCGACTTGGCTTCGTCTTTTGCAACGGAGTTATTATCGTATTCACTCCCATTACTGCAATGTGATGGGCTATCAGCCGCAGCAACAGCATCATGCTTGGTAACTAATGGACTTGCTGATTGTTGAAGGTCCTCACCAGTGGCACCTTGATGATCAACATGAATTGTACGACGCCGTAACTCTGAACTCTCAGTCGAGTGCAATGAAGATGTACTCCCTGATGAGTCATTCGGATTATATACAGAACTTGGTCTAGCAGTAGGACTCTGAAGTCCGATTCGAGGCAGTGCTGTAAAATCACTTTGGTGCGCTGCTTGGGGCGTGCTCTTGGCAGATTGGGTTAGCTGTGGAACATTAGAAAGCAACGTTTGAATTTTTCTAGTTAAATCAATCTTCTGTTTTGCCAGTGCTGTGACTTTTGTAGACAACTCACGATTTTGCTCAGTGAGTCTCAAACATTCAGCATTTTTCTCCTCTAATTTTGCTTTTATTGAGAGAAACTCTTCCTTTGGTACAGTTTCTTTAGGTGGCTCAATAGATTTCTCGATTGCAAAGTAATTCAATTCTTCATCAGGTGGAATGTCATAAATCGGGTCTTCTTCTGGAGGAATAGGATCAAAAATTTTCTGTCTTCGAGTGACTTCATGTAGAATATCACAGATTAAATTATTCATTTCAGCTTCTTTGAAAATTGCAAGCTTTTGGCGACCCTGATTACGAGTCGTTGAATAATCTGGATGAACTGGAAGAAACGGAACAACCTCGGTTTGTAATGCTGGGTTTGTACCTTTCCCAGGAAATAAAATTCCCTTCTGTATCTCTTGCCAAACTCGTTCCAATTCGCGACGATCGACTTCATCATAAACATCCATAGCTAATTCCCCGAATGTTTGGTTGTTCAGAGCTCGAAGACGCCGCTTACCCTCTGGGCTTATCACACAAGCATCCTTTATCTTAGGTAAAAGATAATGCTTTCCAGCCTTATGATCTGGAGTTTGACTGCAAACGAACTCAGTGAATCTATCAGATAGTTCATGTTGAAGTTCAACTAGTCGATCGGCTAAATCATTATGATTCTCAGCTCTGGCTATGTCTTCAGGTGTTTTACCATTTGAATCTCGTATAGCAGGATCCGCTCCATAAGCAACAAGCAATTCAACTTGCAAGCTTTGCCCAACTTTTGATGCCACATGAAGCGGTGCATTTCCTCTTTCTGGACTAAAAAAATTTGCTTGAGCGCCACGAGATAAAAGTCGTAAACATGTTTCCAAGTTACCAGTTCTCACGCTTGAATGAAGCTGTTTGCTAATATCATGATGTTCATCTTCTCTGAGTGGTAAGCGATGAACGTAAGACAAATTCAAATACTTGGATTTGATAAAATCGGATTTTGTTGGGTGAATATTGTCATTAGGATTAGGTTTTCTTTTTCCACTACGCATTTGAGCAGGATCTAACAGCGAGTGTTCCCAAATAGAATTTGCACCCGCAGACACTAGATGTTGCACCATGCTGAGCATATTTGGGTGCCAGGTGCATTTATGCAGATGCTTCACTTGGGAAATATGTCGTCCAAGAGTCATGTGCACACTTGCGCAATCATTGCACATCAAAACACCACGATTCACTGATGCCCAGTTAGCATCTGGAGCTCCACAATCCGAACATATTTCAGAAAGAGGTCGTATTCCAGATTTGACTGGATTTCTCGGCATCGTTCTGCTTTTCATCATTGTCACAGTGAATTGAATTTCACCAACATTAAGTCATCAACACCATCCAATTTATTTTTTTAATATTTGTAATTTGCTAAAGAATTAGGAATGTTAATACTTATTTCATAGCAATGTTATAATGCATTGTTAGGCAATAATGGAAAAGAGGTGTCTTACACTTCCCAACTTTCACTGCATTTCCAATCATGCTATTACTGAATTATAAAATTCTATACACACATACACAGCAGTATTACCTGTTCCTAAATTATTTCCACTATCCACTACCATCAGACCTTGCAATCATGCTTTTGTTTGTTGGTGATAACTACTGAACTTACAAATTACTAGTATGCAACAATCTTGGGGTCCAGTGTAGTTTCGTACCTAAACTACTTCTAGCGGGTGTTACATAACAATTTTTGCATATGTCAATCCTAACTCCCACCTGACTGGGTCATCTAAAAATTATGGCACTATGACATCACAGTGACGCAATAGAGGCCGTCAAACTATATGAACTATCATCCAAGATGTGCAGACGATCATCTAAATTCGAGCAACTATTTCTCTTGTCGCAACGATCCCAATATGAGAGAGATCGCTGCCATTAGTGAGTCGCTATCATCGACGCACATGCCATTTTTGGGCGATCGTATGAGCTCTATGTCGTGAATGTGACGTCGTAGTGACATAACTTTGGGATGGCATAGTCAGGTCTGCAGGATTGACACGTAGAAAAATTGTTATGCTATGCCCACTAGAAGTAAGTTAGGTACAAAACTACATGCTGACATGAGACCCCAGTCATGATGGGTTAGATATAACAGAATACTGGAATAAGGAATTTTAAATCGTTCTTTCTTGTGTCATACAGAGTAGGTACACATCTACAGCATTTTGGGTCTAGTATAGTTTAGTACCACAAGTACTTCCGGTGGGCGTAGCATAACGAATTTTGCTTATGCTATTCCTGACCCCCACCTGACTGTGCCATCCAAAAATTATGTCACTACGACGTCACCATCATGTCATAGGGATTGCCAAAGTATAATTACGATCGCCCGAAATGACATCGTTATCGTCTGCGCGTTTTGGACAACCATCCGCATACTTCGGTGGGCATTATTACGCCACTGTGACGTCAAAATGACGTAATTTTTCGGTGACGTAGTCAGGTGGGGGTTAGGATTGACATATGCAAAAATTGTTGAGCCAGGTCAACTAGAAGTACATGTGGTACTAAACTATACCAGACCCGGCATTTTGAGGTACATGAAATGGATTCATCCTGAGAGAGAAAAAAGGTGATACAGTGATAAGATGGTGTAATAATATGGCGAATGACAGTCTCTCTTCCAGTTATTAGCCAGTCTGGATTTCATGGCCTTTTTGAACGAGAAATCGGGCGTGCAATCAGAAATTCCCGCTTGCAAATAAGAATTCCTGGCGTGCAATTATAGCTCACGACGTGCAAAACAACTGCACTCGCGTGCAACTGACTTTGACATCAGATACCTCTCAATACATCCGCGTAAAATTACCGGTATCGGATAAAAAATACGTTGAATCAGAGAAAAAATGGAGTTTGACCTTTGACCCCAAACATTATTTCTACAGTTTGTCGCTAATTTTGAGAGTGTTTGTGCGACTTTGGATACCGGTACTGTTCAGTACATCCGCGTAAAATTATTGGATAAAAAATACGTTGAACCAGAGCAAAATGGACATACTTTGTCATTAATTTTGGTAGTGTTTTTACGTAGAATTAATGGATAAAAAATACGTCTAATTAGAGCAAAATGGACGTTTGACCTTTGACCCCAAACATTATTTTCATACTTTGTCACTAATTTTGGGAGTGTTTGAGCAACTTTAGATACCGGTACTGTTCAGTACATTCGTGTAAAATTATTGTATGAAAAATACGCTGAATCAGAGCCGTACTTGGCCATTGGTGCGGAGGCGATCTTTTCGTCCATAACTATTCTCACGGGATTCCTATTTCCTATCATTCAACACGATATGGACCTTTCCCCGAGCATCGACTTCCTTGTTTACTTCGTGACATTGGCCAATCAGCAAGATGCAAAAAAGGGCGTAACAATGAGAGGAATTTTTCGCGGGTCAAAGGTTGGGGAAAGATCCATGGTCTTTTTGCTTCGCAATATTTCGATCAGACCAAATCTTGCAGGCTGGTATTTGTCGACAATTGTGGAGTTATAATATTTTGGCATCTTTATATTACTGGATTATTGATTTTAAAACCATTTAAACCGATTTACATTGGTGAGCAGTTGCAAATTTTCGGCGTGCAAAATTGATTTCGCTCGCGTGCATTTTTGCGGAGCGCTAGCGCCCTCGGGCGTGCACCTGCCATGGAATCCAGTCTGGGTTATTAGTCCATTTCGATATGGGATTAGTTATTTTTTGTCATTGTTTTCCAGTTATTTTTGTTTTTGACAGTCAGATGCATGAACTTGCATTCATACCTGCATACAGAATTCTGCTATTTCAGTATTTCTATATTTGTTGAAATAACAAACATAGTACAGTAATTAATAAGTAATCAGCACTACAACAGTTAAGTACTAGAAAGATTCTAAAAATTCTAAGATTTAGTTAGAGTCTCACAGACAGTTCCAGTCTTCATTATAAAACTAATTAAACCTATTAATAAACTTATACTTATTACCGGTACCGGTACGGTATCTGATCACTGGATTGTGATATGGGTTGTCCAAATACAGAACTAAAAAAAAACAAATACAGAACTACAGAACTGTCTAACGAACACTGGAATATACTACCAACTCAACAAGAATCATTGAATTACGACAATTGAACAATTGATTCGAAAACACGACTGCGCGACAACAGAAAGATACCCCCACTGACTGCTTCCACGCCTAGGATTGGTTATTTCCCCTCCTTATTCTATTATAAGTCTTTGTGTACAGGAGGTGCTTGGAGTGCACTTTCATGCGCGAGGTATTACGGCAATTAAATACATTTAAGGAAACATGCACACTATACTGAAGACTAAATATTTTTAATAATATACGGTATTCATATACGATAGAATATCCTAATCATAACAGTTTTTAACCAATAAAAAGCGACCAAAAAAATAGGATCAACATTGGTCTCCCACCACCATATTTAACGAACTCTTCAGCGACAACTGACGGCCGAACGTCGCTACTGAATCAGTTCCCGTAGTAAGTACGTTTTTATCGCGTCAGTCGTGTAATATAATACATTGATTCTGAATCTGTCAATTTTGTTATTGAACCCCAATTAGAAGCTGAAACCAGTGATGGTATGTAAATAAATCTGTCAAAACTATACTACCTGTTTCTCACCCAATCTACGTACAGGTATGTCAACAACAGTGTCTCTATTTTTCTCGACCTTTTCAACAACGCGTCAGAAAGTAATTGCCCTCCAGCGAATGCTGTGAAGCTCAGTTTCAATACCGGCAAAAATTACATTAAAATACGAAACATACAAACGGAAATAATTTCGTTCATAAATACTGTAGAATAATCACACTTATAATTTCGACCCATCTTGATGGGATCAAAAATGTAATATAAACAAGCACTGAGATTCATCCTCACGATCGATTGAGTTTTTGTTAATTTAATTTTTAAAACAATTTTAAGATGATCTGTTATGTTATAATTTATCAACGAAACAGCCCAATTATGTGCTATCAGCTAAACTACGTTTATTTTCTAAGATTGTAGATAAAATAATGGAGAACCAAACGTAACAAAATCACACACACGAAGAGAATATAATACAACATAAAAGCTCACCTGATTTAGCATTATCTTCGGCCACAGAAATACCGATAATAACGGCGACGACGAGGAAGAAATTCATTGCAGTACTCTTGTACATCAAATATCTCTTTGGTTTTGGTCCGACGGTCGTCACAGATAAAATTTCTGACGAATTTCTATTTCATCGAAGAATGGTGATTATTTAGCCTGCAGCTAACGCGCATGTTTTTCTGTAGATTTGTTGATATCGGGTGGTTTTGCAGTGTGAGGAAAACTTAGTGAAAGGCACTGACGCACTGACGCTGGGAAAGTCCGATAGCGCGCCACATAAAGCCTTGCAGGGATTGCAAGGAATACAACTGTTCTACAACTGTCTAAAATAAATAAACATAATTCCTAAACTAATGCTAAATTTTGAATTGTTGTTGGTGTCGTTTGGGGTGATTGTTGTAGAAATTCGCTTTCAAATTTTCAATACATAAAAATGCAAGAACTCGTTAGAAACCTATTACTTTTGTAATTTTTTCTGAGGATACCATGATACCAAATATTTCATCCAAAATTGTGATGTTTTATCCGAATTGGCGGGAATACTGTTTTGATCGCTGAATTCCGCAGTCATATATATATATATATATGAGTATTGCTTTCATTTCGTTGTTAAATGTAGCAGCTCTACCTTGGATTCTATTGTAGCCTACTCGTTGTTTGTGTCACAAATCTGAAAACAAGCAATTGTAATTGCGTTATTTAAAGCTTTCTAAATTATCATGAAATTATAATTACCGTACAAAGCTCATTAGACACAAAAAAACTCAATATTTTTTATGGTTTTGCATTTTATTCAAACGTTAAACGGCGGTATGTCTATAAAACAATAGTAGGCTACTTGTTTTGAGAGTAATCAAAAAAGTCTAACGTACTACCCGATCCGTACTTTAGAGCGGCATAGGATACCCGCTTATAAAGCGCTCGATGGATTTTTGACGAAAAAAAGCTACAGAGGTGGTAGCACAAAAGTCATATTGGGGGTGTCCAAACTACACATGCTTGGGGAGCGGCCCACATTAATATCCCCGTTGGATCAGCGTTGCGATGGCAAGAGTATTCCTGACATTGTCAGATTGGGGGTGACGAAATACGGTCGCTGCAAAGAAACCGAAGATTTGATTTCTGCATGTCAGAATAGAAGCATCACTTTTTGAACTGAACACATATAATACTAAACATAGCGTATATTCTGGTAATTTTATGAAAAATATATATATGTATCATAGTCAAACGTGGTTTTGTATTCAAACCTTAATTTACCACAATTATCTTTTTACCTTTTAATACAGCGATATTGGACGTCCAATACATTTAAAGCAAGTACAGGGGTGACAAAAAGCGGTCGTTGTGTGTCAAAATGGGAGTGACGGAATAGGGTCGGTGCATGTCAGATTGGGGGTGACGAAATACGGTCGTTGCGTGGTGTCAGGTTAGGGGTGACGAAATACGGTCGCTGCGAAGAAACCCTAAATATTTGATTTCCGCATGTCAGAATAGTAACATCACGTTTTGAACTGGACATATATAATACCAAACATAGCGTATATTCCGGTAATTTTATGAAAAATATATATGTATCATAGTTAAAAGTGGTTTTGTAGTTCAACTAAATTTGCTAAATAATTGAACAATCGTCTTTTTACTTTTTAATATAGCGATATTGGACGTATAATACATTTAAAATAAGTATCGGAGAGTATAAAATAGGGGAAAAAACATTTAACGTCCCCTCGTGGGTACTTTTGGAAATGTCAAAAAATTAAAGTTTTGGATGGGCGATTTCTCGAAAACTTTCAATAAAGTCAGCACTACGATATATTGACAAAAAAAGAAAAAAAAACATATAGATTCGATTTCATCATTTCAGAATTGTAGCAGCACGTTTTGAACTGGCCATATATAATACCAAACATGGCGTATATTCCGATAATTTTATGGAAAATATATATGTATCATAGTTAAATATAGTTAAAATCTCCTATTAAAGCAGCAATACGACACACTGGGAAAAAGGGGGAGACGTAATAGATTCGATTTTATCGTGGCAAAACAGTAGCAGCACGGTTTTACAAGACCGTATGTATTTCCAAACATAGCGTATAAATGTAACATATTTTAAAGTGGATGCTTTCGAGAATCGCTTCTTGGAAAAGTTTATTTTCCTCGAGATGACATTAACATAGATCGATTTGGATAAAACACAAAACCAATTCAAAATATTTTACGTATGAATTGTTGAAATATCGAAGGATATGCGCTGTGTTTGATATTACGTACTGCTACTGTTCTATATGATGAAATGGAATCTATGAGGGTTTTTCTTCCAATGTGTCATAATACTGCCCTTATAAGACGTTTCCGAGATATAGCCATTCCAAAAACGACGAAAATTTTGAAAAGAGTCTACGGGAGGGCGTGGATTTTTTTTGTTATTTCAAAGTAAGCTATCCGCAACTTATTCCAACAGATGTCCAGTGTCAACTTATGACAAAGTTAAAAAGATAATTATTCAATTATTCAGAATATTTAGTTGAAATATGAAACCTCTTTAAAACTGGTTACATTTAAGTTACAAAATCGAAGAATATACACTACGGTTGGTATTATATGCGACCTTGTCAAACCGGGCTACTACTGTTCTGCTATGATGAAATGGAATCTAGAAGGGTTCTCTTTTTTTCTAATATTTCGTAATGTTGGCTTCATTGTAGGTTTTCAAGAAATCGACCAACCAAAACTGTAATTATTCCAAATAAAAAATAAAATCCACGAGAGGCCGTATAATGTTTATAGTTATTTTATACCATTCCCAACTTATTCCAAGTGTATTAGACGTTCAGTATCGGTGTATGAGACGGTAAAAAAGGTAATTGTTCAATTATTTATTAAATTTATTCGAAATACAAAACCACTTTTACCTATATCATAAATATATATTTTTCACAAAATTATCGGAATATACACTATGTTTTTGGTATTGTATATGGCCAGTTAAAATGTGCTACTACTATTCTGCAATGATGAATTCGAATCTACAAGATTTCTTTTTTTCCACCAATATTTTGTAATGCTGGCTTTATAGTAAGTTTTTTTTAAAAATCGCTCATTCAAAACTGTAATTTTTCTACATTTCTAAAGAATTCACGAGGTGGCGTAAAATTTTCAATTTTTTAATAATATACTCTCCGATACTTGTTTTAAATGTATTAGACGTTCAGTATTAAAGTAAAAAGATACTTGTTCAATTTTTCAGTAAATTTAGTTACATAATTTATTTAAAATACATGTATATTTTTCATTAAATTATCTGAATATGCGCTATGTTTGGCATTATATATGACCATGTTGAACCATGCTGCTGTTCTGTCATCATATTGAAATCGGATCTATAGAGTTCCCCTTTTTCTTTAAATATGTCGTAATGTTGGCTTTATTAGAGGTCATCGAGAAATACCTGCCTAAAAAAGAGTCATTAGAACAACTGTAATCAATCATTCTCATAATACTTGTTTTACAGTTTATTTATTGCTACTGTTGCTTGTCTATGCGAACTACAGGGTTGTCGATATAGAAGCAGAAAATTCATCAAACATTAAATTTCTACAAAGAATGACTTTAATGAAATTATTAAAGGCATATGCTATATTACATTCATGGATGCTAAAAATGTCGTCTGTGCAGAGCAGTATCTTAGTCCAAGAAAATAGTAAGAATGCATTTTATCCCTGATCTCATTCGAGCTTCCGAATTTCTGCTTTTCTAGCGACCACCCTGTATATTTCAAATGTGGCATCCAATGTTATCCAGCGAATCTAGAATTTAACAGACTAATTTAAAAGGTTCCATCGAATAGCACATAGCCATTTAATTATCATTTCATATTTACACAAGAGAGCTATGCTCAAATATATGGACACGTAGCGCAACCCAGTGGCAATAATTTTGATGACGTCATAGCGAAAAAAAAGCGATAGCCTTCTGGAGAAAAATTTTATCTTTAACCACTGAAAATATCAAAGCAATTGGTCCAGTATTCGAAGAGAAAGGCGTTTTTTTAAAAATGGAGACGGAGACAAATAACAATAACAATAACAACAAAATTTTGAAACGATCGTTATGGCCACTAAACGTGTCCAATAAACATTTAAAAGATTCTCCGTAACATTTCGAGAGCAATCTTCTGATTGAACTCATTTCTTTCAAAAAGTTTTCCTCATTTCGAATTTGTACATTCTTAGATGCATCAGATGGAATATATATGGGTGGCACTAAGGCAGGGTCGTCCAACCCATGGCCTGCCGGTCACATGTGACCCGCCAAAGGTTTCCGAGTGGCCCGCGCGATATTATTCGAATCCCAATGTTTTTCATAAACCTGAGCCATTATTGAAACCTCTAATAAAAAGTTATTCCTCGTCGTTTAAACGCGCAAGACGCACCACCCAGCTATCAAAGCTTTTTTTATGTCCCTTTGTGGGCGTAATTGCTGGAGAGAGATGTTTGGATTTATTTTTATCGTCTGCCATGTATTTCAATCTGATTTCCCGTCTTTTTTCTGCGAAGCTAGAAGAGGCAGTTTTCATGACCACAATATTTGACAGCACTTACTTGTGCGAGCAAGTTTTTTCACAGATGAACGATGTCAAATCCCCATGAGATCACTAATTTCGCTAATGAAAAATTCGCTCTGCATTGCTACCTCGTCCATCGCACCGAATATTGACAAAATTATTGGATAGAAGCGGTGTCATACTTGACATTGAAATATATATGCGTAGTAAAAACTTTTGACTTTACTGTTTCTTCATATTTTCTTTGTGCTTATAATTTTGGTTTGCGGGTTTTGTTTGTTTTTCATTAATCTGCAGTCGGCGTAGTAAAAACTAGAACATAACCACCAGGTCAAGTGGGTCGCGCGATCATTCGTGATCTAAACTAAATGTGGCCCTTCGACCAAAAAGGTTGGACCACCCTGCACTAAAGAATGCGTTTCACTTACTTAACATCTTCTGAATAGCGTTTCATGTCTTAAAGACATTCTCATAGAATTCGGTTCCTAACTAAAAGAATGAAAAATCAGTGTTAATTACATTCTAAGATGGGTATTCGTCCTGGTATTTTACATGATGCTTGTAGACCTTATTCATACGAAAACATTTAAGCTCAATTTTTAATACGATTGCTCTTTTATACCTACTTTGTTGCTCCGAACTTTAACACT